AAATGGACTTTTGAAAAGGTTGCTAAGATAATAAAATGGGGCAAAGAAAAGTCTTTTCAACAAGCGGTGCTGGGACAATTGGATATATACTTGCAAAAGAATGAAGTTGGACTCCTATATCACACCACATACAAAAATTACCTCAGAAAGGATCAAAGACCTAAATATAAAAGCTACACTATAAAACTTTAGGAGAAAAACACAGGAGTAAATATTCATGATCTTAGATGAGGCCATGATTTCTTGTATACAACACTGAAAGTGTAAGTGACACAAGAAAAAAGTAGGTAAATTGAGCTTCATCAAAATTAAAAATTTGTGTTCTATAAATGATATAACCAAGAAACTTAACAGACAACCCATAGAATGGAAGAAAATGTGTGCAAATCACATAGGTGATAAGGGACTTGTAACTAGAATGAATATATAATTTTTACATATCTATCTATCTATCTATCTATCTATCTATCTATCTATCTATCTATCATCTATCTATCTACCTATATATCTTACAAGTGGGTAACAAAGTTAAATAAACCAATTTAAAAATGAACAAAGGACCAGAATAGACATTTCTCCAAAGATGTACAAATGGTCAGTAAGCACTGAAAAGATGCTCAACATCATGAGCAGTCAGGGAACTGCAAACCAAAACCACAATGAGGTATCACTTCACACTCTCTAGGATGGCTATAATAAAAATTACCGACAATAGTAAGTGTTGGCAAGGATGTGGACAAGTCGGAACTCTCATTCCCTGCTGGTGGGAATGTAAAATGGTTCAGTGGCTCTGGAAAACAGTTCCTGAAAATGTTAACATACAGTTACCAAATGACCCGGCAATTCTACTCCTAGGTATACACACAAGTGAAACGAAGGCACACACCCATGAACAAACCTGTATACAAACATTCACAGCAGAATTATCCCCAATAGGCAGAAAGTAGAAACAACCTAAATAAATGTCCATCAATAGATGAATGAATCAAAGATGGTATATTTACAAAATGAAATATTATTTGACACTAAAAAGAAATCAAGTCTTGATACAGACTACCACATGGATAAAAGAAACTGGTTACAAAAGACCACGTGTTGTATGAGTCCAATTATGTAAACTGTCCAGAATAGGCAAATCTATAGATTCAGAAAGCAGATTAGTGGTTTCCCAGGACTAGAGGGGCAGGGCAAACATAGGAACTAACTGCTATTGGGCATGGCTTTCTTTGTGTGGTGATGAAAAATGTTCTAACATTATATTGTGGTGATGGTTGCACAGCTCTGTGACTAGACTGAAAACCACTGAACTCTGTATCTCAAATGGATAACCTGTATGATGTGTGAATTACATTTCAATATGACCCTAAAAAAATGTAAGGAGTAGGCAACAACAACAAAGAGTTTTGAATGTTATGATCAGGGTTTTGTGATGGTGAGTAAATAATACGAGAACCCAGTGGGGTTAAGACACAAAGGATCAGGACTTATGTAACTAACCCCAGGGCTTCGCAGACAATAGGGCCAAAGGACACGAGGTTGGGGAAAGAATGAAACATTGGAGGGACTAAAGGGAATGTTGGCATGGTAGGGATAGAGCAAAGGAAAGAGGAGAGATACAAGGTATGGTTAGGGAAGGGGGCAGCGGCCAGATGAGACCGGCCACGTTCATGACTTCAGACTTTTCCCAAATAGCCATAGGAAGACATTGAAGGGTTTTAACCTGGGGGAGTACAGTGATTGGATGTGAATTTTAAAAAGTGTGCTTAGACTGCAGAAATTGACTCAAGCAAAGTGGGTGGATATAGGAGAATCAGATAGGGAGCCAATGCAAAAGTCAGGGAGAGAGACGATGTCTGAAAAATCCAAATTGAAGAAGTTTGAGGGGAATGTGGGAGGTGAGGATGTGGAGACAATTAGCTCTTGTATGAAGTTTGGCTACAAAGGGAGGAGATGGAGTTGTGGCTGGAAGGGAATAGGAGATGGAGGAAATTTAAAAAGATGAGCATGTTTCAATGGGAATTGGAAGACTCCAGAAGAGAGCGAGAGAGAGCGAGCGAGAGAGAGAGAGAGAGATTTAGTATTCAGAACCCAGAGGACAGAACTCATTCTATCGGGTCCTTGTGAAGGGGGAAGGTAATGAGATCCAGAACATCCTCAGAGACATATGCCCCCTAGCATAACAGGAGAAGGTGGGAGATGGTTATAGATGAAAGTGAGTTTGTAGATTTGGAGGCAGAACTTCTTTACGTCCTGCCTCCAATTCTGCACAGCAACCCATCAGCCAAGAGTGAGTAGATCTGCTTTAAGAGTATGATGTCAGAGGGCCGTAATTAATGAGGAAGACAAGGGAGCACTCTTAGGGATGATGATAGGCATTAGTGAAAGAGACTGAAACACACATAGCCATACATCTTTTATTATACTTCCTTCTTACATAATGTTCAGAAAAGGAAGTGTAGAAAAATTAGTTAGGAGGGAATTGGGACCCTGTGTAGGAGAAAGGATAATGAGAAAGAGTCCAGTTATTTCAAAAGTTCAAACTCCAGGTCCTGCATGTTGAATTAGCTTAGAATCATTCCTGACATTAGAAATCATGCAGATTGGAATAGGAATCAGGCAGAATGGAAATGGGAAAAACTCACATGCCCTATTTTTAAAAAGAAATGAAAGGGGAATTCAAGAAAATACAGGTGAATCTAATTAACTTTGATCTCTGCAATGTTTGTTAACCTGTGTTCAGTAAGAAGCACCAAGAGTTCATCAGGAAATATTTATGCTAAAATATTATTTCTTTATGGAGAGAGTGTCTGCCTCTTGATTTCGAGGTACACAGTTGGGAGATTAAACAAATGCTGTTTACAAAAATTACTGGGTCCCTGAATATGCTGATCACAGGACCGCTGCATAGCAGAACTGTGTATTCCAAAGGGACACTGGCATATAGAAATGGTCGCCAATAGGTTTTACATGAGAATCAACAGGACTAAGTAAAAAGAGAGGCCTCGGTGAGACAGCAGAGCTATCTGCAAGAATGTGAAGGTCTGGCTTGTCTAGTCTTTTTTTCTACAGTGGTCCAGAGTAGAACTTGAAGCATGGGGGGAAAGTTTCAGGGAAGTAGATTGTTGCCTCTAGACAAAAAAAAAATACCTAGCACCTAGAAATGTCCAATCATGGGGAGCACAAATATTGAGCAGCCCAGTCCTGGAAGATTCTGGCAGACTGTTGGGGCTTCTGCTACAGTAGTGTAGGGGGTGGACTATGTATCTCTAGGGTCTGTTCCCTGAAAATAAACGCATAGAAGAAATGTGACATGGGCATTAATTTTTCAGCACACTCATGCTAGAGGTATAGATGCTGATGCCTACAGATGTGTGAACAGCTGCATAGTGAGGCAATGGTAGATCTGAGGCTGGACCCAGCTCTCATCTCCCCAGGGTCTTATCATTTCTGTTGCTCCACACATTAGCCTTTCTTGTGATGAGTGATTGCCTTTCCTCTTTGGAATTTCAAATTAGGAATTCTAGAATGAAACTGGGCTGCTATTTTATACCACATACAAAAATCAACTGAAAAAGGATTCAAGACCTGAATGTAAGACCTGAAACCAAAGAACTCCTACAAGAAAACATCGGGAATAAGCTCCTTGACATGGATCTTGGCAATGACTTTTTGGATTTGACACCAAAAGCAAAAACGACAAAAGCAAAAATAATCAAGTAGGACTGATAGACATTTTTCCAAAGAATACATACAAATGGCTAACAGGTACATGAAAAGGTGTGGAACATCATTAGTCATAAGCAAAGTACAAATTGAAACCACAATGAGATATCATCTCACACCTGTTAGAATGGCTGTTATAGAAAAGACGAGAGCTAATGTGTTGGCAAGGATGTAGAGCAAAGGGAACACTTGTGCACCCTTGGTGGGAATGTAAATTGGTGCAGCCACTCTGGCAAATCGTATGGAGTTTCTGCAAAAAATTAACAATAGAACTATCATATGATCCAGCAACTACTTCTGGGTATTTATCTGAAGGAAACAAAAGCACTAACTTGAAAAGTTATGTGTACCTCATGTTCACTGTAGTGTTACTTACAACAGCCAAGACAAGGAAAGAACCTAAGCATCCATCAGTAGATGGATGGATAATGAAAATGTATTTTATATACAAAGGAATATTACTCAGCCATAGAAAAGAAGGACATCCCGCCATTTGTGACAACATGGAGGGACCTTGAAGGCATTATGCTAAGTGAAATAAATCAGAGAAAGAAAAATACTGTATGATCTTACTTATATGTGGAATCTAAAAACAAAACGAAACTCACAGATACAGAGAATACATTGATGGTTGCCAGAAGTGGGGGGTGGGGGTGGTGGGCAAAATGGGTGAAGGTGGTCCAAAGGTACAAACTTCCAGCTATAAGATAATTAAGTCCTGGGGATGTAACGTACAGCACTATGGCTACAGTTAACAATACTATATTGTATTTGAAAGTTGCTAAGAGAGTAAATTATAAAAGTTCTCATCACAAGGAAAAAAATGTGTAACTATGTGTTGTGATGGATGTTACCTAAACTTATTGTGGTAATCACTCCACAATATATACATATATCAAATCATTATATTGCACACCTAAAACTAATACATTGTTAAATATCAATTATAGCTCAATAAAAAATAAATGAATTAATAAATAAGAATTCTAAATCCCTCACTCATGACTTTCAGGCCACACTCTTTCATAAATGTCCACTGGTCATTCCACCCATGGTTTGAATGAAGCCTGCAGCATTGGCCTTGAAATTCAGAGGCCCTGAGACCTTGAGCCCTGGCTCACACAGATAAGGGCTCTGTGATCTCTAGGGAGGCTGCTCCCAGGGCAAGAGTCTTGTGTGCAGTTCCTGAAGGAGACAAGGAGTTGTGCTCCTAGAAGGAAATGATTCTAGAACTGCCATGTCTTACCTGGACTCTGGGGTCTGCTCTACTCCTCGCTTCAGTTGTACATGACCAGGTTCATCCACTGAGAAATAAGCATCATCATTATGACATAGCTTAAAATTTGTTCGCTTAATACAGAGCAGGGCAAATGGTACCCCCTTCCTTGAAAGATCTCAGTCTAGTCTCATCAGACACTTCCAGATAATTCCAACCCAGCGGGGGGGTCTCAAAGCCCCCATCACAGCATATCTTTTGCTACTCCCTGAGTAGCTAGGCAATGAGAGGGATAGCTGAGGTTGACCAGCTGGCTGGGCCAGGAGCCTCTTTCTAAAGCTCACTAGGAGTAAGTTTAATGTACAGTGAGCTCAGCAGGTGTTCTTCATTCCCTCTTGGATTTATGACTCCCACATAATCCTCTGCTTTACTAAGCTATTGGAAAAAAAATAAAATCTGTCTGCCAAGATCCTAAAGCAGCCTTGGCAGCCAGCAATATATAAAGGCAGTAATTGGAGGCAGGCGGGGGGCAGCAGCTTGGCTGGCCTTTGACAGACTATCCAATATCCTCAGGAGAAAAATTCCCCCTGGAGTCAGAAGAGGAGAGGTGGCCTGGGACTTTGTCCTGTGTCTGGGAGAGGAAAGTACCTCACCTCCATTTCTGTCAGGTAGAGTCGTTTTCCATCCCTGGAGAGGTTCCGGAAAGTCTCTAAAGAGGAGGAGAGGAATCAGGACAGGTCAAGGAAGATAAAAGCAAATACAGTGATTCTATGTAAAGTACTCTGTCACTCTCCACAGTGTGCCTAGCCTCCCTCCTGTCTCTTCCCAGCCACACCCCACACCCGTGGGACAGTTCTCTGTGACCACACTGGCCCACACACGCCTCTCCCTCTTCTCGTAGCCTTGCACTCTGCACCCTTCCACATACAGCTGAGGGGATGTATGGGCCTGTCTTATCAAGTATTCTATGGGCACAGTTTGGGGAACCCCCCTCCTTGTCCAGCTGAGAATTCTCTGGAGGTTTATGCCTCACCCTTCTCTTTTATGCTCCCAGGCCTCTGTTCTCTCAGTCTGTATTAACTGCCTGGCTCAGAGCTGTGGGGTTTGCAGAGGTACCTCACGCCAGGGATGGGATGAGGCTTAGGATGAGGCCAGACCCCACTTCTACCCCCAACACAACACTTGAGCTATATTATAGCTTGGCGTTTCACATAGGATTTCACTGGGAAAAAAAAAGGGGGGGTAGGCTGCTAAGAAGTGTCCAAACGTCTGACCTACATAGTTGAACTTCTGGAGCCTTGGGAAAGCTCCCCCTCTGCCCCCACCTATTCACTTGTGTGTGAATTCCTTCAGCAGAGACCCTAATCATTCATTGCAAGACTATAGTGTAGGTTTAAACGGTAAACAACATGAAGAGGGGACACAGTGTGTTAAATTAACCTTGATCCTAAAAGATGCACTAAATAGGGTGATGAGGAAATGAGAGACCTGGGATAGGGGAATGTCCTGGACAGAAAGAGTACAGAAGGGATGCAGGGGACCTAGGCCGACTATACCATTACACAGGCTAAGGTTGGCTCTGCCTCTTGGAGCAAGGGCTCCTCATGCAAGACTCCAGCCCACCCCGCTACTGAGGCCTTGCCTAGGCCTGGGGCAGGAGTGTGTTCCTGATCCCCTCCTATGTTTCTTGGTCATTGTGACGGTCTCCAGGATGTCACCCAGGTGACACTTACTCGCCATGGCTTCAAGTCGCAACAGGAGGCAGACCAGGCTAGGGAAGCTGACCCTGCCGCTGTTGTCACTGTACCGGAGGGTCATGAGATCCAGCAGCTCACTGCTGATGGAGGTCCCTGCAAGGAAGTCTGGGCCAAGGAGTGGGTTAGTGAGCAGGAGAAAGCTGGTAGCAGGTCCGGTCCTCTGACATGCAAAGTCTGACACACCCGCCTGCAGTGGTGGCCTTCCACCACTGTTTCCTATTTAGTCTGGCCCAGGGGCCCGTTCACTCCACTTCATATTTTTAATGGTTCTCTTGTTGCCTCCTTCTTCTTGGCTGCTGGGCCCCCAGTGACATTGTTGTGGAGTTTGGCCAGATACCAACTCCAGATACTCAAGACACTGACTGCTCTGGGGATACTTCAGCCTTCATAATCATCGGATAATTCCATGTGAACAGGGAGCTTCCAGGACACCTGGAGTTTGCTCCTAGCCCTGCATCCATCAGGCCTCTCTCCATTGGTGACCTTGTGAAACTGCCTTGTTTCCTAACCCCATGACTGCATGTGGGTCTTAGGTGTGAAGGCTGCTAGTGTGAGCAAGTGTGGTCCCTGGAAGTGGGAGATTCAGTCCTAAGTTGGGGGATTAGGAAAGAGACTGGTCCTCAGAGAGGAGACCACAGTCAGAAGGTGGCCACAGGTGGGTGAGACACAGGCACCTTGCTCTCTTTGGGACTGGTTGTCCTACATGTCTAGTTATGAGGTCCAGGAGGCACCAACCCCACAGCAGACAAGAGCAAACTGGCAAATGGCTGTGCCTGCAAGCTTTGGGGGGCAAGCAGACCTTGCAAGCCAAACCATCCATCAAGGGGGTGAGCCTGGTGACCTGTGGGCCTCATGCACCAGAGACATTTGGTGTCTCCAGCCGCATTAATAAAATAAGAATTCGAATGCCTTTAGATAGGCCAAGCACTCTCCAGCTCACCACATTCAAAAATCACCCTCTTTTCTTATGGTCAGCTCCATGGCCCCTTTCAGTTATCTACTTGGTCTTTGAAAACTTTGTAGTCGGATTCCAGCTATTCTCTGTCTCCCTTTTATTATTCTGGAGTCATCAGTGTGGTCTTCTATCAGATTCTGTTTTTTCTGTAGCTATTTGGGGGCTTTCAAAGTGCGGTCCAAAGAGCATTGGCCTCACATAGAAACCTCTTAGAAATACAAATTCTTGAGCCCCACCCAAGCCCTCCTGAGTCCGAAGTTTTGGGTGAGGGGTGAGGCTCATCAAGCTGTGCTTTAACAAGCTTCCAGAGGGTTCCGGAGCACATTCAAGTTTGAGAACCACTGCCCTCTGGCATGAAGAACTAAGGGGAGGACAGGTACTAAGGCAGGAAGATGCTTCTCCCTGCTCTCCAGGCTGGGGGCCCGCGGGAGCGAGAACTGTGGAGCATCTCCTTCCCGTGGTTACCTGGGGGGACTCTGATCTCACATTTTCTCAAGGAAGGCGGCAGTTTTCTGACTTAACCTTTGTGTGATCCATTTCCCCCACCGGTATAGGGCAGATCATGACTCCTGACCACAGAGGAGTTGAGACAATCAAATGAGATGACATGAGTCCAAGTTCTCCCTGAGCCCTGAAGCTCTTAGGCATCCTACGGTATCCTTATCATCATCCTAGGACTGAAAGCTCTTGCCTTCTTGAAGCAGACAGATGACATTTGATTTCACTTAGCTACAAACCCTCTGTGAAGAGAGTGCATCCACCTGCTCATGAGGGTTTAACCCTGACAGCCCAGAAGTTGAGATGGAAGTGTCTCTAAGGCAAGCTTAAGTTCTGGGAGGCTATCAATGATGTGAGGTTATTTTCACACAGTTAGAGTTGTTTGGAGACAGAAGGCAATTGGGAAAATTGACTGGCACACAAGAACTCAGGTCGTGGAGAATGGAGTCTGAGTTCTGAGCCCGGAGGCCCCAAGAGGCTGGTGTTCACCGGGGAGGACATGGAGCCTACCGCTCTGCTCTCTCCTGACCGTCCAGCTTTGCTGCACCAGCCTTGCCTACTGCATGTGAGGGGTGTGCACCTCTCTCTCTCTCACATACCCACACCCCACCATCACCACGGCCCCAGTCATGACAACTCCGAGGGGCCCCTGCTTTACCTGTATCCTTTATAGCCTTCCACAAATCCAAACTCAGGAAAACTCCAGAGCGATTCTGGGTGTTCTGGAAAACACTCTGATTTGGGGAAGGAAGCAAGAAGTCCATGTGAGTGCCCTCGCCCATCTTAAAGAGGAAGTCCTGGGGAGAGAAGCCCTGGAAATCCCTTTTCCACCCCAGGAAACTGCTTCAATAAACCTTGAGTGGATCCGGCTGAGAGGCAGCTCAGCTAAGGCCCCAGGGAGGCAGCAGTGGGAGCCACCTGGTGAGGCCGACCACCCTGGCCGCCCGCTGTGGGGCTGTGGGTTCCTCTCCCAGGCCTGCACCTTCCTCTCTCCCAATCTCCTTTGTGTCCTTCCCCACCTCCTAGACTGGGCTCCCGACACATGGCAGCTTCCTGCGTCCGGGAGGTGTAGAGCTCTCTCAAGACTTTGCATAGGGTGGTGGTTAAAAGCACAGAATTTGCAACCAAACCACTGGGTTTAAATGCTGGCTTGACTATTTACCAGCTGTGTAACCATGGGCAAGTGACTTCATCTTTCCAGGCCTCAGTTTCCCCACCTGCAGTGCAGTGCCAATTACAGTACCTGCCTCATAGGATTGCTGCTAGGGGTCAATGAGCAAATGGTTAGGAAGAGCTTAGGAGGGTGCCTTGCACGGTAGTGAGTACATGTAGCAGGCAGGTGGGGACCGCGTCCTGGGTCCTGGCCCAGCTGCAGGAGGTAGCAGCCCTAACACAGCCTTGTATAGGGTGGCTCTCCTGCACCCCGGACTTTTCCTGCTCTCCCTGGTTCTCACCCGAGCCCTGATCGGCCCTGCACTTCCCGGGTGAGAAACAGAAGCTTGGGCAGGTGACTTGCTGGGAGGAAGCATGCAGCTGCCCCACGACTGGACTTGGGGCTCCCTGGTTGGGCCTGTGCTCAGCCGCCCCACAGGAATTGTTCCAAGGCAAAATACCCCCAGCAGGTGTGTGACCCACCGATTCCTGGGGGCAATGATTACTGTGAAACAGCAGCCCAAGAATGTTTTCCGGCCTCATTTGGCTTTTGGTGAGTGTATAGAAAGCCCTCCATTGGGAGTCCCTCATTCATTCGGTAAATTCATGACTTTGGTCATTTGTTGGGCCTTTTTGAGTGCCTGCTGTGTATGAGACATTAAGAAAGGTGCTGGGGGAAGCAGATGGACATGAGGGTGCCCCTGCTCTGCAATCTAATGGGGTGGGGGGGGCAGATCAGCCATTACAATGCCCTTTGAGACTGCTAAGTCAGGGACTAGGTGATACATCCTGGGATAGACCCACGAGAGCACCTTATCTTTTACTGCGGGCTCAGGGGGATGTAACCGGGCCTGGGGGCAGGCGAGGCCTCCCAGGGAAGATTCCTGAGGCTGGACAATCAGGGTGCTTTGTCCTGGCGGGGATCCGAGTCTCACAGCTGGGGGCTGAAGGAGAGAGTGGAAGGAGTCCAAGGGCTCCTCCTGGACCCCAAACCAGGGTCCCAGCTCCAGGGGCTTGTGCACAGCTCTGATGAGCTTAGACCTTGTCCTGAGAACAATGGGGAGGCCACAGGCCACATCTGTGATCTTGTTGTACCTGGCAGATAGGACAGGAATGAAATGAACAAGTGCGAAGGGGGAATGTCTCAGGGAGCCGGGGGAAAGGGGGCCTGGGGGGGCTGATGCTGGCTGGTGGTCTTAGCTACCGTCCTTGGTGACCCCCCTCTCCTTCAACCTCCTAGAGTACCCTTCACCCTGCCACTTGCTTGGGCATTGCCTCATGTCTTCTAGTAGTACGTGTAGTCTCCCTGAACAAAATGTGAGGCCTCTTGAGGGCAGGGCTGGGTTCCTCTTCTTTCACGCCCCTCAACCTATGCAGGTAGGGCACCCAGTAGAAATTTGCTAAATGGGACACAAAGAGAAAATGCCAGTACCTGGCAGTGGACAAGCCGGCCCCACAGCCTTGCAAACTCCTCTTGATCAAGCCGCCCATTCACTTTCAGCTGGAGGGGAGTTAAGAGTGGACCATGCAGCGCACGGGGGGCAGAGGCCCTGCCGACAGAGCCAGGAGCAGTTCCATCCATCAACTAGTAGCACCATCAGTCCAGTCTCACCTGGACCTGGCCCCACCACAACTGGCGTCCGCTGTGTCTGCAGGGGCCTGGCTTAGCTTCATTTTACAGAGGAAAATGGGCAACTAGAAGGGGAAAGAAGCCCTGAGAAAAAGGGGCCAGTATCACGTGCATCCAGGGGAAGAGAGGGCCCGGAACACAGCCTGCACCGGGTGGAGTGGGGCCCCTGGCAGGGAAGAGTGGGGAGGAGCAGGAAGGGTCACTGCAACCCCTGAAGCAGCATGTGGGTGCAGCTGAGTCGAGGGAAGGCGGTGCAGCCAGCCCTGGTCACCCCATAGCAGTACAATGGGTTTAATGAGAGCTAATTTGAGGAAAAGAATCTATCTCTGAGCTGCTGCAGGGGAGCGGTGGGTGGGCGGGAGGAAGGGTAGAACAGACCTGTCTGCTTTGCAGGGCTCTGACAGACACCACCTTCCCCGGGGTGACCCGCCCTGGGGTTGTGGGGAGCCATGGGGCCCTTCTGATTCATCTGTGGGGGATGGGCAGTGTCTCCAGGTGATTCCAAACCAGGGCCAGCAGAGACAGGGCTTGATTTACGATTTCATCAAGAAGAGCTCTTGTTCGACAATGGCGGGCCTCCCATTCCCAATCGGGCCTTGTTAACAGTGAAGGAGCATGATCGGTCTCACTCCAGGGAGGTTGCATACACTGAGGGGAGGGTCACAGGGTGCAGCTGGGAACCAGTCTCTCCGGGGCTGGGCAGGGCAGAAATAGCTCCTTGGAGGTGGCAGTCAGGACAGGAGTCAGGAGCCCTGGGTTTGATTCCCAGCCTGGCCACTGGTGCCCATGGACAGCTCCCTCCTGCCCTGACCTCTGCCGCCGTGGCATGGTAGCACTAATGGGGTACGGCTCTCTGTAGACCCGGGCATTTTCTCCAAGTTCCAGTGGTTGTTCTCTTTACTGAATTGGGGCTTGTTGAACGAGGGATTTAGGGAAGACTCATCCAGGGTAAGGGGAGGGTGAGAGGAAAACAGCCCCCACTGGCGCTGCCAGGAGGCAGGGCAGAATGATGTTAGGACACAGATTTGGAGGCTGCAAACTCTTCAAATCCAGGCACAACTTTGGACTGGCTGTGGGATTACTTAATAAGCTGCCTAGCCTCTCTGAACTCCTCTCTCACCATGTGATGGATCATACTTCTTACATCATAGGGGTCATTGCAAGGACTACAAGGAAAGTATATATCCCAGTACAATTCTTGGCATGCCAAGATGCTTGATAAATGATAACCATTGGCATTGTTGCTATGGTTGTTCGGGAGAGGTAGTGAGTTAGCATAGAATCCACAGGAACCCAGGCTCTTGGGTGAGCCCTTAGAACCAAAGAAGAGAAAACACTGCGAGTGAAAAGCGTTCCTAACGTCCTAATGAGACCGCCAGGGAAGCTCAAAGAGCAGACGGGCTCATAGAGCTGCCAGAGGAGGGGAGGGAGGACTACAAAGGATACATCCATCAGAGCCACGATGCTCCGGCACTCATCCAAAGAGAACGTGTCCCCTGGAGTTCCTGGGGGTGGAGAATGGGAAGGATGGAAATGTTGGGCGTGGGGGTGACACTAGACTGGCTCAGCAGTGGGGATGAGGGTGGGGCCAGTAGGCCTGTGGGGTCTGACCTTACCTTTCAGGAACTCCTGGTTGAGAAGGCTCTGAAGCTGGGTGGCATCCATGTTCAGTCCCTGATCCAAACAAGGGAGGAACGCAGAAATCCCATCAGTGCTCAGGAGCTGAGGGGCACACCTGCCTTCCTCTGTAGAAGTGCTCAGACTTCCAAGCCCTCGGTTCCCACCCAGTGCCCATCTAGCCTGTCATGAAGCCTTTCCCAATTGCTCCAGGTCATGGCGATGCTCCCTCCCTGAACGTCTGTAGTGCTTATCACTCCTGACATTTGATACCACGTGTGGGTTGCCTTGCATTTCTCTCTTCCTTTATTATTGGACAGAAAGCAGTAGTTGCTTCCTCTCCACCATACCTAGCACTCGGGAACCCCTCGGGAGAAGTGTTGAATGAATTGACTCAGCCCTGTAGGTGTGTTTTCCCATCTGCTTCCAGAAAAGGATGGAGAGAATATAGGACTATCGAGAGTGTGTGTGTGAGCATGAGCATGTGTGTGTGCACAGAGGAGATGAAAGTGCCAGGAATCTAGGCTAAGAGAAGCTGATCTAATTGAGCACATTACTTAGCATTAGTCTTCCTAGCCACTGAAGCATAAAGGAAGACAAGGTTTCCCTTGGATTAAAAATGGGAAGCAATGGAGGTTGAGGGGAGAGAAACTTCTCCGAGCCTGAACTTCTGAAGTTGTTAACTGCATTCAGTTTCCCCCCAGGGACATTGAGCAGCTTTATGGGGGGGCATCTTCCATGATGATTCCACAGAGAAGCAGAGTTGTGCTGCGCGTGGCCATTTCTCACATGCAGGCTGGTAAAAGCTGAGGGGGTGATGTGACATCAGCACTCTGGGAGAGCTTCACGTGGGGAAAGGAGCCAGAGTGAGGTCCCTCAGCAGGTGGCTTTGCAGAGTGGGACTGGGTCAGGAGGAAGAAGGTCTCTCTTTGGGTCCTTCTGAGAATAGGCACCCCACAGACCCACAGACATGCTGTCCTCGGGGTTGGTTGGCCTCACCATCTAACTGACGGCAAAAGCAGCCCCACAGCCTGTCCTCAGGGGAGAACCCCTTTTATTGCCCCTGAGAAAAACATGCTGCCAGTGTTTGAAATTGGCCCTCAGGCCATCCCTCCAACATCTCATTGGCTGGGTTACATCAGGACAGTCACACTGTGTGCCCACTATCAACAGAGTTTTTTCCTCAAAAGAATCATGGCACCTAACTTGCAGAGCAGTTGGCAAGGAACTCTAACTTATGTGGAGTCACCAACTAGAATATAAGTAGCTTTGGGACATGGACCATGTCTCCCTTCTGCATGTCTCTCCACCCTAGGACAGTCCCTGACCTGGACCACAATGTTTGAGGAAATGAGGATAGGAATGGAGATGAAGATTGCCTTAAACAAATACCCAAAGAATTGCACGTCTGTCTCTACCACCTCAACATAAGATTCCATGAGGACCGATGCTTTGCATTCCCAAAGCTTAGTGTGGTGCTTGGAATATTTGGTACATGTTTGCCAATTGAATAAATGGATAGATGGCCATGACCTGACTCAGAGGCTGAGCACGTCCTTCCTTTCTCCCAGGCAGACCCTGGGTTACAGTACCATCACCACTGTCACGGCTGATGTAGGTAAGTCACGGTAGTAGTAGCGTGTCATTGAGTTCACTTAAGGCTAGTTAAACAGATACAAGAGATCATGAGAGAGGACTCAGTGAGTGCGTGCACAAACATTTTGCTTTCAACTTTCCTTTGAGGATACAGCCTTTGAGGACAGTTCACAGGTTGTGCAAAATGATGCCAGGTTGGCCCTGTTCAAGGGTGCTCAGCCAGGGGGTGAAAGGGGGGTGCAGTCCAGTCTGTTCCACTTCAGAACTGTGCACCTTCGCACAGAGCTGCATGTGTCTTTTAATTCCTACAAAGGCCCCATCTAGGCTACCAGTTACCCTCTATGAGGAGACATTTGGTGGTTGTTTGGAAAAACCCTGATTAGAGGGAATCTACCATTTGTCAAATGACAAATTATAATTTTTATTTCAGATGTGCAGGTGCATGAACTATGTTGCGGATTTTGCCATCTGCCCCTGAAGGAAGCCAGGTCTCAGGTATCCTCATTAGGTCCTGCTGATTGCCTCGGGGCAGTAAACTTAGTTTGGACATCTGCTCTGGGGAAGCTAATGTGTTTTAATTCAATGCAGATTGACTGAGCACCTTCTCTGGGCCAAGGACAGTGATAGATATTGGGGACAAGGAATGCATATAATGCCATCCCTGCCTTTGGGAGCTCACAGACTGGGGATAATCATCTGGGCAGACCTTGTCTTGCATCAAGTGAAGTGCCTTCTGAATCAGCCCAGATGTGGACCTGAATCCTGGGCCCATGTTGATTTCAAGGAGGTCCATATTGAGTGGCTCCTTAAAACATATTCCCCTCACGACAGGCACATTCTTCATTTCTCCTTGCTTTTCCCTCTGGGACCAGGCTGCCTGAATAATTTCCTTTTAAGCTGCCTCCTAGTTACCCCATTAGCCCTCTGAATGCCTGACATCCTTCCTGTCCTTGGCCTCTGCCTGGCCCAAGACTGGCATGGTCCACATGGTCATATCTATCTATCACTTTGCCCTTCCCAAACCAACATGACTATTAATGGCAAAAGGCCCATTGTGCAGAGCACTTGGCAGCTGTTTTTATCCTGGCAAGTCAAGGAGTTCTTTATAACGGTTTATTAAACCATTAAGAAAATCCTTTGTGCACATAGGTGGCTTGGCAGGAAAAACACCGCTGGTGTTTTCTGAAGCTGGCTGGCTCCCAGGAGGAAGGATGCCAAGGAGGTGGCAGAGCAGAAGGAAAGATTTCAGGGGATATTGCCAGTTATTTGTTTAAAGATTTAAAATACCCCCCACCTCCATCATTAGCCCCTCCCTCACCAAGCTCTGCATTCCAGCCCAGATGTCACCCAGTTAGGGTGCCACTCCTATCCAGGGCTTGGTAACCAGATCCGTTCTGGAGACATCCAAGGAGAGAGGTTGACAAAATGACCCACCAAGTCACTTTTCTTCTCTGTATCCTGATAAGGGCCTGGTGGCTCCATCACTCATCCCCGTGCTAAGTACTCTACCTGTTGAGCATATCTGTGGAAGATGCTTTCTTGGGAGCCATTTTCCAGAAGACTTGCCTGGATCAAAGGAAAAGAGTCAATATCAAATTTCTGCGGAAAGAAGCTATCTGTCTGGTACAGCGAAGGCACAAGAACCACTCCCCGCACCTGGATCTGAGTCAGAGGCTTCACCCAGCAATTGGATAAAACTTGTAGGGGAATGAGAGCACCAAGGTTTGTGGAAGGAAGATGACTGGTTCCAGCCTGACCTTGGAGGCTTGGTCTTTTCCTCCCTGCCCTGCCCCTTTGAGCCATCATCAGCCCATTATGGTGTCTCTGTTTTCATTGGTCAGTGCTGAGGTAAGAAGGAGACAGAAGTTCTTGGGGATAGGATGTGGCCAATGAAGCTGGCCAATCAAGCCTTCACATACCTACCTTTGGAGCTGTAAGGCTGAAATTGCTGCCCAGATTCCTAGAAAAACAGGGAAACAGTGTGACAAGGATGAATGGCTCACTATTTAAAGGAAGCCTGTATATGGAGGACACCCTAGGTGGCACTGGACATTTACACCAAGGATCTGAGTGAAGGGCCCTCAGCACAGTGGGATGTGACATGGTGATATCACCTCATGTGATATGACAGTCAGCAGACAGGTAAGCCTCATAACCACTTGTCCAGTCTTTTGACTGGCCACCATCTGGTCTTCAAACTATTTAGCAAATGGTTCCTTTCACAACCAGATACACATGTACAGTGACCCCCATTGCCAAGGCAGCAGATAAGCTTTGTCTTATGTTCCAACCTCGGTGGTACCGTGGCTATCTGGTATGCTGGACTGAGGCACCATCCATGCTCACCTGTTAAGATGCCATGATTATAGCGATGTCTGCCTCAGGCCCAACAGGGTATCAGGGGCCCAGCAGGATGTGTACTTGCTGATCCCAGTCTTGACCACGGACTTAGCACTCAAGACTCGCCACGACTGGCCTCTGTCTTTCAGTCTCCCTGGTCTTTCGGTCTCCCTGATGTACCCCACCCCACCCCCTGGTCACATTTCAGACGACTGCCATGCATGCCATGTATGATCTTCCTGGGCATATGGCTGACATCGCTTATCTATACTCCCTGTGCATATGGCTGACATCGTGCTCACCCACTTCCCTCATGCTTTTTTTCTTCTACCTGCACTACCTTTTCCTTTAAGCATTAGACTATGTTTTCCATCAAGGACTAGTTCAAATGCCATTTTCTCCAAGAGGCCTTCCTCAACCCCTCTTGCCCGAGGTGGATCCGTCTCCTCTGTCCTCCCATGTGACTTTGCACTTCTGTTGAGCAATGGCTCCATCCTGTTCATGGTCTACTTGTTGGTTCGGACTCTCTCGCCACCCTTTGTGGTGAGCTTCTTGCAAGTGAGGCCCATGCCATGTCCCCTACTGACACAGTACCTGCTGCACAGGATGACACAATGTGTTTTTATAAAATTAAGTGGAATCAAACATTTAGAAGCCCAGCGTTTCTCTACCTGTCACCATCTGGCATTTTCAGGAAGATTCGGAGCAAAAACTCAACTGCTTCACTGTGGGCCGAGGTGACCACCACGTAGGTCCCAGTACTCAGACTGAAGTACTTTGTGAGGTTGCTCTTGGTTTTAAAAACTATGCCCTCGATAGCATTTCTGAACTGAGAAAAGAAGGTGGGTGGCAACCTCTTCCAGAAGGGCTGGAACTGGAGGAAAACATGAAGATGGTCAGAACACCCCCTGTGAGCATGGGCCCAGCCCCCAGAAGAGACCCACCACCTTCCAGACCCCTCTCCATTCATCAGAACAGCATTACAGGCCCTGAAAAGGGAGATAGTGTTTACCTGGATTTTCAAAATGCCACAGAATTCAGACTGTCATTTAATATAGATGCTGACACCACAACGAATGCAAAAAAGATATGGTACATGGTTTTATCTCATTAAGTCCCATAGTATCCTGGGTTTGGGTGTTACTCTCTCTGCTTATAAAGACTTCCATGGAAACCAGTGAAATTGTTCTGACACTGAATTACTTTTGGAGCCCCTGACGCCCCTTCTCTCCTGAACCTTTTACAGTACTCTTTGGACTGTGTAGCTCAGAAGAGTTGGACTCCTCCCTTCCTTCCATTTTGCCTCCCAGCAGAGCCCTGGAATTCCTTCTCATTGGAGAATAATAGGCTTTGATCATTTTCCTTTTATTTCAATATTTTCTTAGAGATAAAACAATAAATATAATGCAGTTCCCATTACCAGATGTCACATGCGTATTACATAATAAAAACCCCTTACTAAATAAATTTTCCCCAATACAGTCGAGCACGGGGATTCCATTTAGAGTGGTTACGCAGCATGAAATGATTATTTGTGAGCTCTGCCTTGGGGAGAAACAGGGAGAAAGGGAGAGTTTCTTTTCAGAGGGTGGGAACAAGGCTGGGCTACAAGATGAGACAGGAGATAGGTCACTGTCCCAGGTATGCAGCGAGGGCTGGGTGCAACCTCCAAAGTGACTTTGCTGATGTTAACAGTGGCCCTAGCAGGTTTGGAGCCTGACTTGTGTGAGCCTTCTGGCAAAAGCAATGATGAGAACAATTCTTCTCCAGAAAGCCAGTACTGTCCTGTGTCTCTGGGTATGTATGTGTGTAAACACATGCATGTGCACATGGGGAGACATTATGTACAGAGGATTGTGTGCTTCCTACAGTCCAGAATTTCCCTGCTTCCCTGCTCTCCTGCCCTCCTCTCCACTGGACTCCTGAAGCCTTGTCCAGTCTCCCTATCCTCTAGCACAGACTTGCTCAGTGGCAGCCAGAAGTGTGAGTATGTGGCATGATGGGAGGCTCTTGGTCTAGTGCACAGAGACCTAGCATCAAATTAACACAGGCCTACTTGCACACAGACCTGACCCTGTAGTTCTAGGGATGGGGCTTGTGCCTTTTCTTGGGTCAAATCCCCACTCCTCACTCCAGCTCTGGAGATTTGTTCCTTGCACTTGAGTGCCTCCCTTGAAGCCCTTCCAGAAATTCTACTCCCATGACCAGGGTGCTGGAAATGAAAATCAGATCCTAAACCCAGCTCTGTGGCTGGGCCACTGGTGTCAGTGGCCTCCTTGCTGCCCAATTTCTTCCTGGGCTTCTGAGTATTCCCTGCTTAGAGAACCCCTGTCCTGGCCTCTGTCTACCTATTGGGGGCACCCCTGGAAGGCCCGGAAGAGCTTCCCTGGACCCAGAAGCATGCTAGAGGTACTACCTGTTGGCTGTGGCTACATCCTTGGTCCCCAGGCACATGCACCTCCCCCAGCAGCCACGGCCCCCATCCATTTAAGGGGTCTACATGCTTGTAACTCCATCTGTCCTCCATCCTGACTCTTAAATCACCCTGTACCAACGCCGAGCCAGAATATCTGCTCAGGAGAGGTGGCTATTTGGTTGAAAGAGGAGCTAGATATGCCCTGAAGGTGCATTTGCAGAGCATGCAACCTGTTTGTGGTGGATTCAGGGGCTGACAAAGAATATGAGGCTAAAGTCCCCCTAAGATGCCATTAGCTCTGCTTCTTATCTTAAATAGGAAAGAACCGGCTGCATCAGTCTTATCTGTCAGAGGCCAGATTCTCGAAGATGGTTTCACGGTTGCAGCCCCTCTTAGATTTCAAACCAAAGAACAGCTCGAGGGGTCCAACATTTAGAACCAGCACAGCAAAAATATGTCCTGCACGGTTGATCTATTTGGAGATTCTAAGTTTGTATCCTACAGGACAGAGCAAGACTGAATTTGCAGCCGCCGAATAGCAAGAGACGTGCCAAAGTTATAGGTGTTGGAAGAGGTGTTAACAGTTACCAATGCACAGCAACAGAAGCATGAGAAGGTGCTGATTCATACCTGAGGGTCGACCTATAGGGCAGAAAAAGAAAGGCAGGTTCAGGAACTAAACAAAAACACAAAGGCAAGCAGATCCCAGCAGCCCAGCTCAGGGCCTTGCGTTCCTTCTTCCTACGGTCAGCCTGTTCCCTGCACACCCCACTGGATGGGAGCATTACTCATTCCCTGGGCAGAGATGTGAAAAGAAAACCTAACCTGTTGTAGGCTATAGGGAGCTCAAGGGGGAAGGAAACGGAGGAGGAGAGTCTCCGTTTGTCAGCTCAGCCACATGCGGTTACTGTTTATAGCAATGATGATAAAACCAAGGGAAGGGCGAGATATCAATAGGGCGGGGGTAAGAGGGAACCTAGATCAAATGTCAGTTTCCCAGCATCAGGCGCTCCTATGTGAGGAAATGTTTTTTATTCCATCATACCACTGTAAAATATGGCGGGAATTTGTTCTAGGCCTCCCGGTGTTTGTAGGGATGTATGTGTGCATCCAAATAGGGAAATACCTACATTCTGTCTTTCCACGTGGCAAAAGGAAGCACTGAGGATGCAGTTTTTAAGCCACTCTGCCATCTGCAAGGTGCTTCCCTGTAACCCTGAAAGCAGACACGAGGACCCTGTTTTATGGATGTGAAAACGGTCCCAGCAGTCTAAGGAGCAGAGGTCGGAATAAAGTAAGCTGCTTTGCTTCCTTGGTGATTAAGACCCACTGCCCAACACTGTCTTCCACTGTTGGTGTGGGTTTTGGTTCTTTTCCCCTGCTGATCCCCCGGCCCTCTGCAACCATGTGTATAGACCACTTGATTTGCCCAGGCAGATTTTCTGGAGACCAACAGTGAGCTGGAAGGGAGGTGGAAAGTCCCAACCTTGGCAGGGGGGATCTTTGGGGTGAAGATGAAATGGCTTGTCCACCCCCTTGTCCTTTTCCTCTGCCTATTCGGACACCACCCGTGTTTGCTGTGATGGAAGACAGAGCGGTGCTCCCGTAGGAGTTGGGAGTCACAGGACCATGTCAGGGCCAGAGCAAGCACCATACAGAGCGGTCATACAAGCAGCACATACCCACAAACCCTATCAGAGCCCTGCAGACTTTTGAGAATCTGGTGGCTGGCAGTATGTGCCTGCATATCTCTTAGCTGAAGTGTGAAAGGAACCCAAGTGTCTCTTGAGTTGCCATAGTCTGGACAGTTCTTTGGTGTTTAATTCAATCAGGATCCTGAAAGGTCCACTGGGACCTCCAGGGAGCCTGAGGAGACCTCGGGTCTTAGTGCCTTTTTAGCAAAGTGTACGGCTGAGAAAAGCATCTCTGGCTGAAAAGTAGATAAATGGGCTCGACAGCATTTAAAAATAGGTAGGATTACAATCGTGCCAGGCTCCTGAACTATAAAAATTGGGGGCAAATCAGTTAACACAAGGCTGCTGTGATGCCCAGCTCTGGGGCGCCAGGCTCATAGATGGCAATGTGAACAGCATCCCCAGTTGTGCCCTGGGGCAGCCCTCTTCCCCTCTCTGGGCTTCTGTCTCTCATCAGAAGAGGGCAGTAGTCTTCATCAGGAGAGAGCAGCAGGACTACCTGTGCTGCTACTCTCTCTTGCTGAGAGACAGAACTAGTCAAACCTGGCTGGGTAGACCAGATGCCTCAATTCCTCCCCAGCCCCTCTCCTCTGTTCTTCTCAGAGGTGAGTTAGTAGACGCCAAGGACAAGAGTCCTCTCAGAAGGCACCTGAATCACTTGGGATCCTTGGCTGGAAGCCAGGAAAACAAATCAGGGTGGGATGAGCAAAAAGCCATTTACAAAAAGTCTAGAGAATGCAGCTAGGAAAGTGGGTGGGAAGCAGTGGGGACAGCTACACAGCTGGATGCCAGCCCAGGATCTGCCTCCACTGCTGCTGCCGGGCCCCAAGATTTGCTGTGGATAATCCCTTGGCTGGTCCTACCTCAAAAGTCCAAACCCAGAGTGACCGAGATTGTGGGGATGCGGGAGGCAGACATGAGAAAAGCATCTGATTGGACAAGCCTGGCTCACACATCTACCTCTTTGCATCCAGGGGCTGCGGAGAGGAAATATTTGGCCTCTTTGGTTGCTGCAGTGGGAAACTAGGCCCTGCCTTGCACTAAGTGGAAGAGTGTTCAGGTGCCTGATGGGGAGGGCAATGACAACAGTCCATTGCTGCATCTTTCAATGTTCTTTGATGGCCTCAGCAGGTCTCAGGCCCCTCAGAAGTACTGTGCCAAACCCCAACCATTTCTTTCCATTCATTTCACGCAACTGGGAAGTAGAAATGTGCTCAGCCTGTCACACATGGGCTGACCTATGGTTCTCACTGTTGCTTTAGGCTCAGTGAACAGGAATGAAGATTATTCCTAGAGATGCTAAATTCAGAGCCCCAGCCACAGAGGTGGTGGTTACATTTGACTGAAGGTTTGGGGGACATCTGGTGCCCAATCCCCAGCTCTGTCATTAACTCTGACCATGTCACTTCACCTCAGTTCCTTCAGTTCCCCCATAAAGACAGGGTCTTTGTTATATCAGTGCAGAGAGGGTGTGGAGCATATGATTTAAGAACCATTCACTTTATCTTTGGGATACATTAAATTATTTGGTAAAGGAGGTGGGAGCAGAGGTATCGGATTTTCTTTTGTAACACTTTTAAATAGTATTTTAAAAAACGAACTCCCTGATTACCTCCTCACAGTGGGGTGTGTGCAGACTTGTGGGTGGAAGGATGGTCCCGCAGGAACTGCAAAGCTTGTTGGGAGTGCCATGGTGGGAGGGGAGGCCAGGTGGAGAGGAAAACCTGACCTTGGATGAAGGGCCAAGCAGATGCTTGCAAGCCAACCACCAAGCTATGACTGGATGTTGGCTTAAATACAAGAGAAAAACATACCTCCTGGTTTTATACCCAGAATTGGTTTTTTTCCTTAAACTCCTTTCAAAGTTTAGCCAATGATTCTCTTTCATGCACATAAGCAGCACTAAGGGAGCTTGTTACAATGTGGATTTTCAGATTCTGTCCATGGAGGTTCAGATTCAGAAGGTTTGGGATGGTCCCAGCAATCTGCATTGTTACAACAGCTGGTCTTGGACCAGACTATTTTTTGAGTAACAAGCATTTGAGCCTGCAGCATACCAGGAAATGCTGACAAGTGACACCGGAAGGAGGTGTGTCCCACTGCGAGCCTGGTCAAGCCTGATCTCCTGTCAGGCCCAGGTTTTCCTGTAAATTTGGAGTTGAACCAGGTGAACTCTAGAGCCCTTTGGGTTTGATTTCCGAGGTAGTTTAGTGAAATCTCCCAGCCTGGTCAGCTGCTCTCTCTGCCCAAGGAACGCACAAATGTCTGAAAGGGTAAGCCGTGATGAAGGCTGCCTTACCTTGAACACCTTGAAGCTTAGTGGAAATTTGTCTTTTGCCTTTAAATTTTGCAGCCTGACATTGACGGATATGATGACATTGTTGCTTTCCATGCCCTCTGGCACAGAGAAGATGTACTGCGTGTCCCTCGGAAGTCCTTCTGCATGAGAAAGAGTGGTCATTGGAGCTCAGCTTCACTTCTATGACTCCTAGACCTGGGCCATACTGGTTCAGAAAGCTCCAGTGGCTTGTGTTGGCAACCCTGGCTTCGGAGACCTAAGGCTCGGTCCCAGTTCCCACAATTACTAGTCGTGGCACAAGCTTCTTCATTTTGTGAGCCTCTATCTCTTCCTCTTAAAAACAAGGAGGGGAAGTATATTCCCCACTTGGTGAAAATGTTTCCTTAACTGTAAAGATGAGGGCTATTTTTATCATAATAAGTGGAATGTCAGAATCCTCAGGTATGTATGAGCTTGTGCGTTGGTGATAATCATCAGAGCCTTGAAATGATGTCAATCCCCAAGCACCAAAGGAGACACAGGAAAACAGGCGGAGGGATGGCAACTCATAGTACGCTACTACCCAGGTGTGCTCATCAGAGCCAGAGCAAGAGACAGAAGTAAGGTGATTAAGTAAGGGAGATTCAAATATGTAGCAGAATGAAGATAAGTCAAGGTAGAGATGAATCAATACACATCAGCAGGGTCGGCTCACAGGTTGGGAAGCTCTGAGAGGAGAATGGGGAGATACAGAGGCTCTTCCTTGTGAAGGTTGAACAAGATGATGCATTCAAGTGTACCTAGCAGGGCCCAGCATGTACTTGCTCGCTGGCTCCCTTCCCTCTTCCCCATGCAAGGAATTGCTAAGAATAGCCCCAATATATCATTTTGCTTAGTTCATTGATATGTGCTATATCCAGGGAAGGGGACTTTGGCCCCACAGTCAGACAGATAGGCTCTGGAAGGTGAATCAGTAAATTTACTGCCCAAGTGTGACTTGGCAGTTCCTTAGAGTCCACCCATGGCCTCCTGGTGCCTAGATTCCCTGACCGGCAGAGTGAAGATCCTGGAGGTTGAAAAGAGGGGTACCTGTGGGTCATTCCAGCAAGCCATTCTCAACAGGTAGGTGCCAAGGAGAGGGAATGGTCATGTCTAGGTGCAAACACACGTACACTCATACACACACACGAACTTGTTTGCATAGCTCCTCCTCTCGAGGATGTGTAAGCATACTCAGGTTCATGTTCACCAGGAGCTATTTCACTCATCTGTGTGGCAAATGGGGAGCAGGAAGTGCAGTGAGAATATGTGACCCTCCCAAGGTCACACTCAACAAAATTCATCTCAGGGGAACCCAAAGACAGGTGCCCACCTCTGGGATCTCTCTGTGCTGCTGCAGAATACACCAACCAACATGGGGCAGGAGTATTCGCTCTGATGTCTGGATGGTGCTTTATGGGGCAAAGCGATGGTTTAATCCAAGCCCTGACTTTTGTCCAGTGTTCTTTACACAGCTCCCCACTGTCCTGGGTAATTACTGAAGAGCGGTGAGCCTGTCCTCCTCCTGGGGGACAGGTGGAGGTTAGTAGACAGTGGGAGAGCATGACAGGGCAAGGGAGGCACACTTGAGATTCTCCCACCCAGCCCACCAACAACTGTTTCCCTTGGAGAAGAACAGCTGTCCCTTTAGACTGGCAGATTCCTCTCAAGTTCAGGCCAATGGGGTAGAATCAAAGGCCATTGAGACTTGAAGCCAGGACAGGGCTAGGGCTGGCGGCTTCCATCTGGCAGAATTACCAATGTCATAACTACCTGTGGTGTTTCCTGGAGTTGCACGGTTCTTAAACATCATTTGGGACCATATTTTATGAGGCATGTTTCCTTGGTTTAGGCTGACTGGAAATTGGTTACATACAAACAGGCAGGAGAAGTTGTCTTGGAAATCTTGACATGACATCCTGTTATAAACAGATACGTGTCATTTTACTGGTTTTGTTCCCAGGGTGGGGGTTCCCATCACTCCACTGTACCTTTGTCTATCAGTTCCAGTATTCATGGACTTACCCCTGTCCCACCCAAAGACCAGAGCCTCGTTCTGGCTCACTCACTGCCAAGTATACTTCTCCCTCCTGTGGTCGGGAAGACAGGACTGAATAAAACTCTGGGTTCTGCATGTCCCTCTCATGGCCATGAAGGATAGCTGTCATCTCTCTCTCCTCTGGGTCCTACATGGTGCTAGGAAAACTGCTGTTCCCTTGGATCCTTCGCCAAATTCATTGTTGAGATCCTTATCAGAATAAAATGGCTTCAACATCTAAAATCCCACCTTGTATAACACCCAGTGCTCATTACATTATACGCAACTGATAAATTGTTGGGCACTACATCTGAAACTAACATGTACTTTATTGGCTAATTGAATTTAAATTTTAAAAAAGGGCAGAAAATAAGAAAAAAATAAAATCCCACCTCGTACTGTGATTAAAGTGGAGATATTGGAAATATTTTTCCTTTCTGGTTTACATTTGTCTCTCTGCTTCTTGATTCCTTAGACCCAGCCTCCTTTTCACACATGCTAAATTCATTTAAATACGTTACTAAGTAAACCATACAACCTCTCAGGAAAATGTCCTTATTATCCTTTAAAAAGTGAGCACATGGCTGAGAATGTGTTTTTAAAACATCTAGTCCTACACAGCTGCCAGGCAAGGACGCTGATGTCTCACCCAGAGCTCTAGAGTCAGGGCAGGGAGATTAATACCGAATTGCTCTTTTGGAAGGACTGTGGAGCTCCAGGGGGATGCTGTGGGTCCTAACAAGATGGTGTGGAAGACACGGATGTGATAATCAGGCATCCTGGCTTTCGGGAAACTATTGATTTCAAAGCTTTGGGGCCAATGTTCCCTTTTACCATTAACATTTCCTAGAAGTTCTAGTATTTCAGAACTGAAATACCTTTCACACAAAGAGAAAGCACACAAATAATTTCCCATCCAAAGCTTTTGTGTCTTGGTGGAAAAAAAAAATAGTCTCCTCTACATAGGTCTCTGCAAAGCTAATCTCTAGTCTCACGAAAGTTTAGGGAAAGGGGTAGGGATTGAGGGTGTGGCCAATAGGTAAAATTTTATAATGTAATTTTAAAAGAAAAATACCAAAACTCGCCATCTTCCTTATTCTCATACAGCAGTCTTTTTTGTTGGTCGTGGGTTTTCTGCCATTCCAGAGACCTGAGCATGGAGAGACAGACCACAGGGTGAGATCTTCCAAAGCACTGTGTCTCAGCAAAATGTGCCCCAGCAGGAGGCCTGTCCTCCATTAGTTCTGGGGGTACACGTGGAGGGTGTCATTCTACGTAGTGACAGAATTCCTCCTTCTCTGTACGCTGGTGGCTTCCGAAATGGTCTCCAGCCAGATCCTCTTCCCCGAAATGGATACACGCTACAGGCCAAGCCATGTCTCCACCAGAGCCCCTGGTGACCTGGAAACCAACCTATCCCACCCTGCACCTCTGCCTTCTCCCAGGGCCTGCGTGGGACTGCGAGAAGCCACTCCCTTATAACCCTTATAGGCAAGCAACCGCCAGAGGGTGATGATCCATGATTCCACCTCTGAAACCCCTCTCAAAGCCATCCACTAACTTCCGTCCCTCCTGCTGCTCTGCTGGTTCATGAACCCTCATCCCCTTCTTGGACTTCCCACGAGTCTCCCACCACACAGTCCTGCCCACTTCCCCATCCACTCTCCACACTGCCATCGAAATGATCTTTCTCGAACGGAAGTCAGATTCTGACATCTCCCTGCTGAAAACACATCAGGGGTTCCCTTTTCCTCTCAGGATGAAGCTCAAGCCCCTGAAACAGAAACTTGGCCTCTGCCTACCTCTCCAGCTTTACCTGAGCAGCTCCCTACTCCCCCCCACACCCCATCCTTGAATTCTACACTCAGAACATGAATGTCTTCATTTCCTTGGAAATACCTGTCCTGTCCCTGCCTTGGCCTTCACCATGAGGCTCCCTCTGCCTGGGATAGTCTTCTTCATTTCAGTCCTGTAAACTGAGGACGTCACTCATCCTTCCTCCTAAAAGCCACCTCTGTTGGAAACCTTGCTTGTGCCCCTGGGGTGTCCCCACTCCACGTCGAGAGTCAGTGCTCCTCCTTGGAACCCACACGGTGCCCCGTACCACTCCTGTCTCAGCACTTAGGACCCTGTGTTTCTAGTGCTTCTTTATTTCTTGCCATCCCTCACTGGACTCCTAGCTCCACGAGCTCAGTGAGGCTCTCTCACCACTACATCATCACAGAGGTTCACCCACTGCCTTGGCACACGGGCCTGCAATAGTTTTCTGCTTGCTTAATTAATAAAGCTGATCAGTTCCCTGGGATAATGGATTCCAGAAGCTAGTCCTTGGGTCTGTGGTGGAGGAAGAGGCCCTCGCAGGCAGAAGGGAGCAGCTGTCCCTTCTTTAGCCCGCTCCTCATAGCAGAGACATGCTCATAAGCAACAGGCCCCAGAGGCGCAAACGTGTCATGGATCTCTCTCTAGGAGCGGCCTGCATCTTGCATCGAGGGAGAGTAAGGCAGGGACCACCACTCAGGCTACAAGCCACAGGCTGGACCAGTCAGATGTGTTATTGTAAAATGGCAATTTTATAATTAAGGGATAATTACGTTTTCTGCAGTGTGTAAGGGAAAATAAATGTAGTGTAAATCAATATGCTATCGATTCATGCAAGTTTGCCTTTAAGTGTGTGCATCTGAAATTTCAATTATGGCCGAGATTAGACTATCTGGCTCTCTCCATCCATCTCCACTCCTTAGAGAGCAGGGAGGGCATCGACCACCTGCATGCAGATGGTGATCATGTGGCCTTATCACTTTCTTCCGGCCCCGCTTCTGGGGGGATGTGGTGAACGAACCTAAGCACAGCCAGGTGTGTGGCCCTCAGAATCAGCACTGCTCTGCACGTGTCTCGCCCTGTTGAAGGGCGTTTGGAAATCCCTTGCCCATGGGGTTTAAACCCAGATTCTTAAGCTGGCATTAGTCTCTCTGGCCCCGGCTCCCGGCACTTCTCTCCCGGGCTCCTCTGTTGGCCCTGAACACACCGTAAGCATTCCTGGCTCAGCGCAGTGGTCTACACGGCCCTGCCTACCTGGTGATCTCTTCCCAGCTGAATCATCCTTTTTTTTCCGGCTTGAACTCAGGTTCAACTCTATCCGTGAAGCTTGCCCTGAACATGCCAGCCCACGGGAAGCTTCTCTTCCCTAATGTCTGGTGCCTTGGCTGCCTTCACCAGTCATGCGGTGTTTAGCACAGGAGACGAGGTGGAATCTGTTGCCTCTTCTCCTACCCCAGGCAGATGCATCATTGACATTTGCCCTTCCTGCACTCCAACCCCAGCAGCCAACCCCGAGTCAGGGATTCTGCTAACCACATCACCCCCTGGGCCATATTGGCAGCTTGGGGTAACGACTGAGAAAGAGAACTGGCAAAGGCCAGAAGTTGCTAAGATTTACATCGGAAGAGGCAAAGGGTACCCCTGGGAAGGAAGAAGGAAGACAGGCAAGATAAAAGGAGAAGGGGGAAGGGTGAGTGGAAACACAACACTGTCCATGGTTCATGGTGTTGCAGTTTCATTCCCCTTGTGTGGAGGGATTCAGCTGCTCTGTGCTCCAGGGGGCATCTGAGGTCCCACCGGGATCATTCTATGAATTCACTTTGCTTGCTACCCCCCCTTCCACATGCTCCCCCTTCTCTACCCCCAGCTCCAATGCACGTTCATCTTCCATTTGCCAAGTGCCCACTTTGAGCAGGCACACGCCAGCTGTAGGGGCTCAAAGGGGATCAGAGTGGGCCCTGCCACAGCCTAGCCTGTGGCATCAGGCCAGGTTCCGGGCAGCCCGGAAGTAGGGCAGGGACGCTGGCCAACTCTGCATTTGCCTTCCAGAACTCACTTCTCACTGTATTGATTTTCACTGCTGTTGGGTGCTGTTCACCTGTTTGAATGCTTTTGCATTTCTAGTCTTATTCTCTTTCCCACCATCGCCTCCACCTGACCTGCTGGCTGCCCGAGGAGCAGGTAACCTGTCCCCAGCTGGCCCTCTAGGGACACTCATCTCATTCTTAGTCATCAAGGGATGGGGACCAGGGATCAGTCTTCTTGGCAGCTGGGAACTGGTAGCCCAGCCCCAGGGAACCACCGACCACAGAGCTGCATCCCCACTGACCAGCTGGGGCAGAGAGCAGCTGTGTGGGACATGGCCAAGGGGCCTCTGACACTCACTCAGCTCCGTTCACTCCTTCTATGAGCAAGGTGTGAGTCCAGACACCAGTTATACATCAGAGTCCAGATCAGTAGGGAGGATGGACAACCCAGGTGGCCAGATCTTTGCCTCAGTTCCCCAACTCCCCCCACCAAAAGAAATCTTTTCCTGATGGTGTCATCAGGATCAAAATCCCATGGGGTCCCTTATGGGATGAGGCTCCTTCTCTCCATCTCTCTCTGCCAAGTAAAACTTAATATCTGTCCCACTCCTTCCCCAGCCCTTTAAAAAACAGCTAAGTCTGGGTATGTGGGCTCACAGTGCTAAACTGTAGCCTTCTGGGGGCTAGACACTGGGTCTTGTCATCTGTACACACCCCACAGCACCCCTAACACAGTATACTTAGTGCAGAGAGCACACAGTAGGGGTCTAATAGAAGCCTGCTGAATGGCATCATGGGAATGGGAAGTGGGCCGACAGCCACACATAGGTGTGAACTGGACAGTGAGATCCACAGCAGGTGAGACAGATGCCACCCTCCTGCGGCTGGGGCGCTCTGCATACCAGGCCTTCAGTGAAGGCTGGAGAGAGGTTTTCAGAAGCCATACCCATCACTCCAGCGTCCTCTCCATTCGGTGTTGCCCCAGGGGTTCCACAGGCGGATAAGGTCTTCCCAACTCCTCCCGTACTGAATCTGCAAAGAACAGAAAAAGAAACTGTCAGTGCTCGACAGCAAAAGTCAGCAGAAAGAGGGGCTGTGAATGCAGCTGCTTTTTACCTCCAAGGACTAATTTAACTTCTGACCTCATTTGGCTGCAGCCAGAAAAAAAAAAAAAAAAAAAAGAAAGGAAAAAAAATCAATGTGTCTCTGCTGCCTGCATGGAGTTGGAATGAGAGAGGAGAAAACGGACCCTCTTTCTGCTCAGCACCTCGAAAGGTAGACATAGCTTCATCATGCCGGACGAGCGCCTCTTGGAATGTGGGCGAGCTGAGATGCAATGGCTGATAAATAGTGTGCAGCGTTGTTGTGGGCTGCAGAGGGGAGATCTTGATGGGTCCCCAGCCTCCCGCAAGCTCTGTTCCCACCAGTATCCCTATTCCACAGGCGTAGCTGCTTTCCTGCCCACGGCCCACTGCTACCTGTGATGGGGTCTCCACAGCGTGGTCATGGGCGAGGATGTGGAGGAGGCGGGTTTGAGCGAGAGTGGGACAGCCTGGGGGGCAAGACAGCCCAGGTTAGCCCTCCTCTACCCACACCCCTGTAGGCAAGCAGGTACCTTGATGGCCTGAACTTTTCTTCCTTCCCTAGTTCCCAGATATGGAGGCTGGCTCCTTCAGACCACAGAGGCCAGAGGCCAGGACCAATGGTAAGTTATAACAAGACAAACTCAACCCTTTGAACCCAGGTTCCCAGATCCAGGAGCCCTCAGCCTGGTGAGAGGAATTAAAGCATGGTTGCGTTTAGCTGGACACTGATGAGTGCTGAGGTCATCTGTGGAGGCCGAGGCCTTGCAGAGGTGAGGGAAGGGGCCCATTTGCTCTGTGGTTCCAGACCAGGGGCAGCGGAGACAGCCCCGAGTGCAGTACCATCACATGGAAAAGAACCCCGCGTGTGGAGGTGGGGCTTGGAGCCTGGTGCCAGGGGAGTGCATTCCGTCCTTCAAACTGCCTGTGGATGTGTATACAGCCCTTGTCTTGCACAGGAGGAAACTGGACACCAGAGAGGTTAAGCAACTTTCCCAAGGCCACAGTGTAAGTGGCAGAAGAAGAATTCTCATCCCAGCCACTGCTAGTCTCTGAAACTCAGGCTCTTAATTTGGAGAGGAGAGCAGATAAAGGATACAGCTGCTCCAGGGCCCAGACTACTCTGGGGTATGGCCACAATCCTGACCTTGCATCTCACCCCTGGGCCACCTGGCCAAGGCCCATGTCATTACCAGTAGCGCAATATAATGCAGGAACAACGCAGTCAGACAAGGGCCAAAGAACTCGGCTTGGATAAGGTTCTTTTCCATCCACTTCTATCTGGCTGGCACTGTAGGGGAAGGTGCTTTGGCTTTTAATGCTACATGGGATGGGTGGGGCTCCTGACACAGACCCGGGTTCCCCACCCCTCCCTGCCCCACTCCTGGGCACTCCAGGTCTTACACACAGTGTATTTATTAACCGTCAGTGCCTGATGGAGCCCATGGAGCAGGGAGGTGAGAAATGGTTGCCCGGTGGCCCAAAAAGCTTAATGAGCCACCCTCAGTGCCTAACATAGTCGGGGCTCAGATGGGCACAAGGGAGAACGACAACCAGTGAGCGAAGGAGCTGAGAGCAGGGCTAAATGAGGCATGCAGATAAACACTCACCCCCTTGCCCAGGGGAGTCACCGACCCAGCCAGGTGCGTAATAAAAAATGCCAATTTCATTTATCTTCCTGTCTGTGTGTCGCCCAGAGGAGGATGAGCAGATTAAGAAACACACTGCATTTACGGGCTGGTTTAATCTTAGCACTTGTGGTCAGTTGTGACCTTCTCTTTTTGGAGGAGAAATCTTTAGCCAAGTCAAGTTCCTGGGCCTTGGCAGAGAGGCTCAGGGGTCACAGTCAAGGCCAAGGTCACAACAACCTCTATGAACGCACACTTGCTTGCTTCACCCTCCTGGCTACTCATTGTACCTTGGCCATGGTCAGCTGAGAAAGGGTACCCCCGGGCAAGGGGTGATCCAGGTTATCTAGTCTAGGATAATATTTCCTCAAATGCATCTCTTAAATGCTAGTCCCGCAGGCTATTAATAATTAGTCCTAGGAGAAGTGGTTTCATGGCTCACAGCAGATTAAAACCAAAGAACTGTGCAAGACTGTTGAATCACAGATCTGTACCTTTGAAACAAATAATACAATATATGTTAAAACAACAAAAAAAAGAGTAAGATAGCAGGAGGGGAAGAGTGAAGGTGGGGAAATCGGAGGGGGAGATGAACTATGACGACGGACTCTGAAAAACAAACTGAGGGTTCTAGAGGGGAGGGGGTGGGGGGATGGGTTAGCCTGGTGATGGGTATTAAAGAGGGCACGTTCTACGTGGAGCAGTGGGTGTTAGGCACAAACAATGAATCATGGAACACTACACCAAAAACTAATGATGTAATGTATGGTGATTAACATAACAATGAAAAATTTAAAAAATTAAAAAAAAAAAACCAAAGGCTGTCTCAATATATAAAGGGCCTTTCCCAGGGATGGCGGAGACGTCATGCAGGTGCCCTGGCTCCTTCCACGTCCAGCACAGATCACTCATTGATCACAGCTCTTTCCCCAAATCTGGAAGCAGTGCCAGAGTCTTGTCAACACAGTCATCCAAGCAGCATTGCCACTGGATCAAGGTTGGCGCCCAAGGAAACCAATTTGTTATCCCTAGCCCTAGACTTTCCATGTCTGGGACGGGGAGTAGGGGGAAGCAGCATGTCCCTACGTGGCCTGGTGTGATAATGGCACTGGCTGCCCCCATTGAGTATTCTGAGACGGGCTTGGGAGAATTCAGAGAAGAGAGTCTGGGGCCACTGTACCTGGGATCTCTCCTGGCCAGGGTTAACCAGGGTGATTCCTTCCTTGCTCGTGGGAAAGGTATTTTGAGCTCCTCACATCCATTCTGTGATGGAGGTGGGGGTTCAGTTATGTCATCTTCACAGGCCAAAGATGGATGCGTTTATTCACACACAAGCGCACCAATCCATTAATCCCACGAGCATTTATTAGGTGCCTACTGTCTCCCAGGTACTGTGCAGAGGAAGCATTTTGTTACGCCTTTCCCTAAGGAGAAAAGCAGGAGGCAGAAGATACTATCTCTATTTTTGTGGAAAACTCGCCAAAACACAAAACAACAGAGCAAGTGGCCTGAGGTCACTGGACAGGGGACAGACTGATTCAGAGAGAAGGAAGGCAAAGACGAGAACCCATGCCAGACGCTCTGCATTCTATAGCTCATAAACACCTGTGGGAAGTGTACCCTGGGGCTTGGGACATTGTCTCTCAGGGTCTAGAGGACATGATTAGACCTCAAGAGCTGTGGGAAATATAGAGAAGGGGGGACATGTGTGGGGGATGTGGGAAATCGTCACGAGGCCAGGGGGCATGGTTACCACACAGCTGGTGTCAAGTAGCTGTGTTAACCCCGACCTCCCCCTCTCAGGCCCCAGCTTCTCACTTAGGAAGGGAGGGGGCTGGACTTCAGTCGTGTTTTCCAGACCACATGATATTGCACACAATTTTGTCGACCCCAAGTCCGTTCCTGCATCAAGGGAAACACTGTCCTCCAATAGCTGTCCTCCTCTCTTCCATGGGAATAAAGTCTAGCTGGGCACAAGGAGGCCCAGCTAGACCGGATGTTTCCCAGACTCCCTGGTGCCTCGGTGTGGCACATGATTAAGTTTGGACTAATGGGATCTGAGAGGAAATGCTGTGTGTTTTCTGATGGGTGCCTTCTATAAGAACGTATAAGTGTCCCTTGGTTTACCTGCTTACCTGAGAGAGAAATGAACTTTATCCTACTTGAGCCCCTGTATTTTGGAGTGCCTCTGTGGTAGCAGTTTAGTTGGTACGTAACTAACAAAACCCTGTCAGGGCTTGCCCCAGTGGGTTGGGTGGTTCTTTCTTCTTTCTTTTTGGGCTCATCCCACAGTCTAGCTGGACACTTAGCCTGTCTGAGATCAGGGCAAGCATGGCAAGAACTCTGGTGGGTCCCTGGGGGATGAAGCTGCTGGGCATCAGAATTTCTGGATGAATAGAAGGAATGAGGCTGAGTGGGGCTTGCCGAAGGCATGTGATGCTGACTCCTGTTTCAAGGAGCAAGAAAGCCCGGCACAACCCATGGAGCCTTACCCGCTCGGCTCCAGTCACGGTGTAGGCATGCTGACTGACCAGGCCGTTCTCCATTCTCCTGGCCTCACCTGTCGGCTTCAGAGGAGGAAAGCAGACCAAGCATTACACATTCGCAGGTTCCTCAGAGAAACAGAAAAGCACAGCTGAATCAGCAGCTAAGCTGTGGCTAGATAAGAGGCGTCCCACGGACTTACACTATTCTTGGAACTCTTTTCTAGAGGGACAGAGTTTGAAAGCTGCCAGGTGGTCGAGGCCCTGGAGACTACCTCATTACTGACAGAACCCCACTGAGTCCTGAGGCCAACCTGGACTGTTTCCTCCTCCAATCCTTCGTCCTCAATGACACACAGCACAAAAGGCGTCGGCTGGGTGTCTTGTAGGAGTTGGGAATACCCTACCACCCCCGTGCTGTGAGCAACTGGGATTTAAAGTGCATATTAGTTTTTGGGTGGCATTTCAGATCAGGAGTATGTGACTCAAAGCCCACATGTTTACAGGGTGCAGGAAATACCTTCCTGGATAGGGAGCTGGCTGTCTCAGAATAGACTCCAAAATAATTTGGAGGGTCGTCCAGGCTTCTCAAAATGGGACACATTGACCTTGGGATGCCGCCTTTGGAGCCAGGGAGAATCAAAGGGCTCCAGTCCCTCTGGACCCCACTGTGCCTGGTCACAAAGGAGTGGTAGGCAAAGGCTTCAGAGTCAGGCAGCAGGCATTTGAACCCGACTCAGCCACTTACTGGCTGGTGTGATGCTGAGCATTTTCCTTAGCCTCTCTGAGCCCATTTCCTCTTCTGCAAGTGAATTCTGCAGCCCCTATCTCAGAGGGAGGGCTGCTGTGAGGATGACATGAGGCACGGCTTGGCCATGCCCCTTACTAACTCAACGGGCTGGTCGCTAGATACTCCTGGGCGAGGAGTAGAGTCTATTCACCTTGGCCAGGGTGGCGCAGGCCATCAGGGAGCCTGCCTTGGCTGCTGTCTTCACCATCATTACCAGGTCAGAAGGAAAGTGCAGGTCGATGCTGGTGACCACCCCTCCCATGAGGTCCACCAGGGCATCAGGAAGGAAGCCGTAATGCAGGTTGGCATAGGATCCATGAAACCTGGAATGGGGGAAAGTCACATCAACCCCTGTGGGGACTTTGGTGAGACACTCCAGGAAGGGAGGTTGCACACCTGACCTCTGCATGTTGCCCAGTGAAGGACTGCCCAATCTAGTCCTAGACTATGGCTACCTGCCTTCTATTCACCTGGACGAAGGTTCCAGTAAAGTGCCACCATCCTTCCCCTGGTCTCCTGGGGCTGGGCAGCCCCAGAAGCAGCAGTTTTGTGCAGGGGTTAGAGAGCAGGTGCTGGAGCCTCAGGCCAGGGATCAAATCCCAAGCTCTCCACATATTTAGCTGCTTGACTTTGAACAAGTTACTTAACCTGGCATATGGCAAGCCCTTAATAAGCAGTGGACATGATGATGATAAATATCCAGTTTCCTGTTCAGTTTAACAATAGTGGTCAGTCCCTGTTGTGTGAGGGGTACTGTGCTAGGCACGGAGCACTCAAAGATGAGCAAGACCTGCCCTCCAGGAGCTCAGCCAACAACCCCGGTGCCTACTTCGGCCCAAAGCAGCCTCTCTTCTCTTGCAGTGCCAAGCGTGGTCCAGAATCCCCGCTCTCAGAACTAAGCCCCTCATCCCAGGTTCATCAGGGAGGCCACATCCTCCAAGCGAGCCACGTGGAACCCTCATACATGTCCTCTAAAGCACCTCTTCACACTCTTGCGTGGGGTTTCTGCCCCATTTCCCCTCCTCCCTGGTCTCCTCCAAACCTGAGCAGCCCCAGTCACTCACTAGGGAGGCCGAAAGATTCCAGGTTCAAGAGCCAAACCACTCTGGTTCGACGCCTGGTTTCCCCTCTCCATGAGCTCTCAAACGTGGGCAGGAGGCTGAGATTTCCTACGGCCCCCTTTGTCGGCTGGGGAAGTGGCATGTGACAGTCTCCGCCTCCATGGGCTGCTGTGACGGGTGTGCCAGTCCTGGCACGTGTGGCCAGCAGTGGCCGTGCTCGCGGCTGTCACTGTCGGGCACAGCAAAGCCACACTCCCCCTGCTTCTACCTCCGCAGTTGTCACTCCTTCCCAACCTCACTCTGCCCCTGGGACACTCTCCTTAGAATGAGTCGTCTAGTTTCTTTGCAGCCCTTGGGGGTCTATTTGCTAGGAGGGCCCAGGGGGGCCTCACGGGAGGGGCAACTCTGAGCTGAGTTTATCCAGGCAAGGCCAGTGGGACAGGCATTCCGGGGAGGAAGGGTCCCCAGCCGGGAAGAGCATGGTGGGCCCGGGGCCTAGGACAGTGCTCTTGGGAGAGAGGCTACGTTGACCACTGAAGCAGGGCCAGGCAGGGGCAGATTTGTTTTGAGAACTCGAGTTCCTGTCAGTGGGGTGAACTGGAAAGCGTCCCAGGGAACCCTAAAATACAGACAGGGCAAACCAACAAAGGACTTGAAGCTGAGGCCCGGTGGAGAGAAGACCCTGCCTCTTGGTGTCAAAGCTCCTCCGTGGGGGTCTTCCTCACCACTGTCCCGGTCACTCAGGCTTCTCGCCAGGGGACACTCTCATCTGTCCCACTGTCACAGACCAGTGGCAGTAGGGAAGCTGCGACCAAGGCTTGCTTTCTGGTAACGCAGATCCGACAGTTCCTCCCTGCTGCTCCTCTAGGGGGCCTGCAACCCTCCCTTCTGGGTCTTTTGCCCCTGGAAACAGCGAGGTTGACTGGGTAAGCTCATGGGGCCCCTCAATCCTTTCTCCCATAGTCCCACCCCTGCCACCCTTTCCGCCCGGGCACCACCTCGAATTCACGTAAATTCACTTGAGCAAATACAGGTCAAACAGCCACTCAAAGCAGGACAACGTCCCAGGCACAAATACCATGGATGCCTTAAATGTCCCTTATAACAGAAAGCTAAGGACACACAGAAGGCCATTCTACAGAAAATGCCACATGACAGATTGATCTCAACTTGTTATAAAACTGGTTCTAAATCTTATCTTCCTGTCTCTCCTTCTCCCTGACCCGGGGTTATGCCTGGTACTAGAATCTTGTCTCTGGGGTATTTACTTAGTCAAAGGCAAAGCCTACCTTTGATAATGGTTGTGCCCAGTTGGGTCTGAATGCCTGACTCTTGATTTCTCACAGGTATTCTGGCTCTGGTCTGAGATCAGGAGGGGCTTTGTTGAGGGTCCTGGAAGTTCACAAAGACTGTGGTTCTGGGACCCATTCTAGAGCCCACCAGCATGACCTCAAATACTGCAACAGCCCCTTCTTGGTGAGGCACTCAGGGATCCTCCCTTGGCTTTAAATGGGGCGCACCAGGGCCATTCCAGAAAAGCAGCCAGGCCCTGTCCCGGCACTTCAGGCCCACTGCCTCAGTGTCTAGGGGCCCCATCTGAGGTCTTGCACTCATACCACCCTGCAGTTGCCACAGGGAGACCCAATGCATGGGGAAGGCCAGCAGTGCCTCTCTCACTGTCTCTCCACAATGCCCAGCAAGCCTGTCTCAGCAGCAGCTGGGTATTTTGACAAGGAGCTATCTCTCTGCTTCACAAACACGAGCTCACAAATCCTGCTGATGCTTCAGGAACATGGCAATTATTCTTAGCCCCTTTTGCTAACAGGAAACAGAAAGGGAGGGAAAGATAGAGAGAACTGTGTTCACCACACCTGTCACTATACCTTGTCACCTGAGCCCAGGAATTCGGAGAGGGCCTTGTTCTCATCTCTGTGCTTCAGCCTCATTTGGGGGAAATGTCTATCTGCCCAGCAATGCTAGGAAAGAGGGAAGGATTCAGACATCTAAATCAGAATCAGAAAGGATGCTAAAATGCTGGGATTCTTTTTTTGTTTGTTTGTTTTTTAAATGCTGGGATTCTTAACTGCCCAGATTCCGTACAGGATGATATGCAGCCTAACAGATTTTGTCCTACGATCTCCTATTTTATGACCTCTGGGGCGGGGGGAACAACTGCCAATGTAGATCTGACTGACTCAACCAATTCATTTCCAGACTTCCCAGTTGCAAGGATATTTGAAAGTTTGGGATGCATGTGTTCACTGGTCTACGTTCTTGGGTGTGAAGTTGGGTCATCTCCATGGGGATGGATGGGTTCTCCATGTTTGTGCTGTGGTTGTTGTGTGCCTGACACTGAGTTCCAAAGAAGCAAAAAGACAAATCTTTTTCCTATAAAACTGACAGCATCAAGGGATGATGGAAAAGCCCAAACAAGGGGAACGGTCCTCATTCCAGCTTGGCCTCGAACACCACGTGACCTAGGGCTACTCACTTCAGTGCTCTTCGTATCAGTTTCTTCATCTTTCAAAGGAGGAGGTAGGACTCGAGGCTGACAGAGGTCCCTTCCAGCCCTGATAGCTCTAATTCCATTACACTCACTCCTGCATTCTATGATCCCCTTCTTTGGATAGAGGGGAAAGCTTTTAAAACAGCTTACTAGTTTGAAACATTTTATCCTCCACTAGATTTCTTTAGGCGGTGGAATGTAGATTCTGGGTCCAGTTTCCCATTTTCTTTTCAAGCTGAATGATTGCTTTAGGTCGACTGTTAACAAAATGGGGTCAAAGTCATCATTTCATTCCACAAGGTTTCTAATTCTCCAAGTGAACTGGCACGCTTCCCCTTTCACAGAAGGAAAAAACGAAGCCCTGAAGTAGTGAGAGCTGAATCCATACTCGAAAGAAATGGCAGTGTTTGGGTAAGTAGCTTAGAAGCAAATTAACCTCCCTGAACATATGGATCGGTTCAACAACCTTGGCTGTTAGCTGGGGTTCCTTCTCAAGTGCTAATGAACAGCTCTTCTTGACACTGGAAATGAGCAATAGCTTCAGTTTTCCACAAATGGGCTCAACAGACAGAATACAAAAAAATAAAAAAAAAAGAGAGCGAGCTCTTGCAATGCACGGCTGTTCAGATTGTGACCTCTGGAAGGACAGGGACTGGAGTGTTGGGGTTGTCTGTGGGATTGTTAGCATCCTCAGGGCTCAGGACTGGACCCAGCAGGGTCTTCAGTCTTATTAAATTATGTCCCTAGGTCAAATAACTGAAAACCCCAGCAGATTCAGGCTAGTGATTACTATCACATGACTATTTAGAGTCTTGGCTTCCCAATCTGTAAAATGCAGTTGGTGATGATGATTTTTAGGGAATCTGATTTGGTGAAACTCCACTAACTCATTTTCTCCTAAAAGGGATGGTGCCTTTGTCTCCTAGCATTGATTCCTAGCTCTGATATGTCCTGCACCTGTGTAGGTCTCTGTGACAGTGACCTCTTCCACATAACCCATATTCTTTCTCACACCCACTTAAGCCAGTCCCAGAGTCTTTATCCCAGTGCCAAGCACAATGCCTGGCCTATGGTTAAATGCTCAATACACATCTTCTGAACAGATGCAACTCAAAGAGTCTAAATAAAACATATGAATTGGGGTGTTTATAAGTCCTTGATCTTGTTAACACTAGAAGGTAGTCCTTGAATCACAGTGCTTGGACCATATAATAACCAGCAACTCCTGCCCTGCTCCCCCCTCCCCAAATACAATCTCACAGTAGCTGTACTGGGCCCCCAACTGCCTGATCTCACTCTGAACTCTCCTGTCCCTAGGTCCTCGCTTGAATCATTCCCATGGTTGGGAATAACTCTCCAACATATCCCCTTTCCCCTTGCTGCAATTCTACCCATCCTTCAAGGCCTCACTCAATGCCCCATCCTCTCTACAGCCTCAGCCTGACTCTCTGCGAGTCAGAAAGTCAAGAATGTTCTCTCTCTGTTCTCTCATCAGACTTTGACCATCAACCGTGATATTATATTTTATTTGGGCTCTTAGCCCAGCCTCGCAATAACAGTGTTATTAGTACCTACTTCTTTTCAGTCCTGTCCTGCCCACTCCTTGCTATGTATCTCTGGGTTCCTCCCGTGGCCCCAACACAGCCTTGCATACAGTGATTGTTTATGGGGGATGCCCAGCCTGGTGGCAAAGGCTCTGAGGCTCCCAGGGCATCACTTGCATGCAGAGCTAACGAAAATCCTAGGGCTAGCTGCTGTGCAGCATCCAACAGGGCAAGCAGCTGGGCAGGCAAGGCGAGCATTGAAGCCCCGGTCAGAGGGGTGGGCCACTCTTACTTGGCATAAGCTTTCTCCAGCAGGCAGGGCCAAAACTCTTGGTTGTTGTTGCGAGGATGCACAAAGAGGTACTCCTTATCCAGGACAGGTAGGCGATCATCAACCACTACTTCCACCCACTGGCCACACTGCCAGAACTGGAAGAGAGATGAATATATGCCTTAGTAGAGCCAGGGCAGAAGGGACCTCCAACCCCATGCCAAATGATAACCGCTGTCATGATGTGACCTCATCGATATAACAACAAACTCTATCTAGAACAAAATCCCAGCCCCGTCAGTAGACAGGGGCCTGGCATGTCAACTGCACTGGACAGATGAGTCACAGATCAAGTGAGTCAAAGAAAATACAGGCTGGGAGGAAAGAGACTTGGGTTTTAGTTTGACTTTGCTACTAACTCTGGCCTCACTTTGGCAAGTCCTCTAAGAGCTTCACACACACATGAGACTTTCCAAGTATACCTTGTGGACAAAATGGCAATAGAGGGAACAGACGCTGAATAACAAGGAGAATGGTAGATACAGAGTGTTATAATGGGGGACAGGAGAGCCTACTGGGAGCCGAAGGCTCGAGGGAGGAGGCAGGATTTAAACAGGTGGCAAGGAGATAGGAAAGGCATCCCAGATGGCAGGGACAGTGTGGGCAAAGGCCTGGAGGCCAAATGATGAGGATTCCTCAGGACTGAGCAGTGACAGCCTCCTTCTGGTCCTCTTCAGCTCATGTGAAGCTGGCCCTGCCATCAGAGCAGCAGAAATGAAACTGGCTGGCACCGCTACTGCTAAGAGCACAAATGAACCAGATGTTCCTCTCTAAAACAGACTGCTTTAATCTTCGGTGTTCAACTCTTAATGGTTCACCCGGGGACATCACCAAATGAGGAAAATTCATAACAAAGCCAGCCTTTTGGAGTTTCTTTGTTGTTCTCCCCTGTGCTGGATAAGCAGCAGGGCTTCCAGCTTCAGTCTGAGCCTTGATGAAGGCAAGTCTCCGACAGGGGGGCTCGGAGTAAAGCTCGGTGGATGTGATCTCTCATCTGTTTGGCAGTGACAGGAAACCATCCACATGGCCTTTCCCACAGCTGGATATCCCAGATGTTGAGCCGTTGCATCCAGCTGAGGACGCACTTTCCAAGTAGAGATGGGGACTGAGACAGAGATGGCAGTGGAGACAAAGCAAAGAAGAGGTTTTCATGGTCATTAATGAGCTCAGTGCACTGCAGCTGGTTCTGGCACAGCTGTGGATTTGTGTCCCTAACGTAGTAAATTATATAGACAGATGCGGTTAAGAACCAACAAGGGTGTTACTAGGAGGGAGATCATGAAACATGTTTGACACGCCAAGGAAAACTAGAAGTGGGGTGCTGGAAAAACAGCCTGATCTGGATAGCAAAGTGTAGTAGACGGTGGCCAGTCACTGGATCTGTGCTTGAGTCCTGGTTTTCCCTTTAGTTACCTGAACAACAGACATTGGGTAAGACACTGAATTCTCTGTGTCTCAGTTTCCTCATCTGTCAAATGGTGATAAAGTAAGAACCTCCTCATAGGGCTGTGATTGGGGTCAGATGAGATTGTCAAAATGAGATCCAGTTTTGAAAGTAGAAACTGTTTTTCAATAGCTTCTTTGTTCAGCACCTAGGATAGTGCCTGATGCAGAGTAGAATATCAGGAATGAGTTGAGTCCTGACTTGAATGAGCTCCTCTGGTTGGTTTCCATCTAGAAGTCACCTTCACCCCAATATTCCCACAATGAGTAATGCTGACCAAATTTGCTATCCTTATACAAAGGGAACACAGATAAGATTGTTCCCAGAATGAGGTCAAGAATGAGGCCACCAATCTGCATTTCCTGGTTCACCTCCCTAGATGAGGAGGGCTGGCATCTGAATAATGTCTGGACCCTCTAAGAAGCATGCTGGTGCCATTTTGTCAGCACCCAAGTGTCCGAGGGAAGCCAGAAGTGTTTTGAGCAAAGGAGCCCTGGGCACTGGGCTCATTCCCAAGAGTAGTGCCCAAGCTCAGAGTGATGAGAACAGATGTACAGAAGTCAACACCTCAGCTCTTTCTGGAGAACCGTGGAACTTTGTCACCATCCAGAAGGGCAGAGAGTGTTCTGCCTGGGCCTCAGTTTCTCCTAACCACGTGTTACTACCAATACTTGTAGCCTGAGTTGAGCTCAGACAGTAAATCTTGCATCTTCTAGCTCACTCCTTAGTTCCTTGGACCACCAGCAACAGCATCCCTTGGGAACTTGTTAGAAGATCTAGTATGCAAATAGTTGGACTTCAGGAAGAGAGAACAAAATAAAGGAGGACACCCAGAAATAATTAAGGGAAATTTAGTTGAGCAGAAAAAGGAGACAGGTCTTCAGAATGAAAGGGCTCACTGAATTCCAGACAAGATTAATTTCAAAAAGGCACACATCTGGAACTATTCCAGAGAAATTTCTGAACACCAAGGAGACAGAGTACCTCTCCTAAACTTGCAGTTTGAAAGAACATGTTGCCAACAAAGCCAAGAGCATAGATTAGCATTGGATTTTTCTTCTGCAACATTGGAAGCTATGAGACAAAGGAATAGTTTACAGATATTTGAGGAAAGAGAATGTGATCCAAGAATCCCAAACCCAACTGACATATTATTCTTAAGTAAGAGCAAATGAAAAACACCAATGTGATGGAGGAAATTATCCGAGGAACTACTTACCTAATGAGGATGAAATTAGAACAAAGATCTTAAGATAAGAGGAAATGAAGGGTGAAAGCAACAATGGTGGGCAGTGAGTTTTAAATATTCTTTGTACAAGAAACATAGTGAAAGTGAAATTGAGAATGAAAGGATGAATAAAGATGTAACAGGAAAACACAAATGACAGGGAGCTGAAGTAGCAATATGAATATCAGGTAAAGAGGAATTCAAAGCCCAACACATTAAATACAAAAAGGAGAGATATTGTGTGATCTTTATTCCAACAACCAGATAGCAAGAACATAAAACTTTAGGTACCACAGAATATAACAGGAAAAGTTTAAAGCTAGAGCATCTGAAAATATAAGAGGAACCCTCCGAGGTGTAACTTTGGGGAAGAACTTCAATTCACCTCTTTTAGAATTTGATAAATCAAGCAGACAAAAAATAAACCAAGATAAAAAAGTTAATTGCAGAAACAACAATCTACAAATCAGAAAGCTTGATTACATATGTAAAACTTTTGCCCACTGGGTATTCTCATATGTCCATGAAGCATATGCAAAAACTGTTGCAGACTTGGACATAAACAAAACTTTAATGTTTCCCCCAAATGTAGAGATTTTATGAATATATTCTCTGATCATAATTTAATCTAAAACTCTACAACCAAAACTTAGCCAAAACCAAAAGTATATTATCTTAAAATTAATACAAGACATTTTATATCAAAACCTATAGATATAGATAAGATCTCAGAGGAAAATTTATAGTCTTAAAAGCTTTTATTATTAAACAAAAAAGACAGAAAAGTAAACAGTTTCAGAAAACAAAAAATAATAAAATTAACAGAAAAAGTAAAAGGAATTAATAAAAATAAATTGAAAATAATTATATAGAAAAAAAAAACCAAAAGGAAAATAGAAAGAATAATGAAAATCAAAAGTTGATTCGTTAAAAAACCAATAAACAGATTGGTTTGGTTAAGAAAACCTGGCTTAAGAAGAAAAGGAAAAACAAGAATATAGCACAGAGATTGATAAAGTAGATTTAACCATAGATCAGAAGAAATTAAATGAATTTTCAGAGAATCACATAATCAACTTTTGGGCAATAAATTTGAAACCACAGAAGAAATAGTAGGTTTTCCTGGCAAAATATAAATATCAAGAATTAACTCCAGAAGAAATAAGAGACACAAGCATTTCAATAGTTGTTGAACACGCAAGAAGAGTTAAAGAAATCATGTCGAAAAAGGAAGTAGTTCCAGATGATTTAACTATTGCTTGTTTTACTTTCAAAGAACAGATGATCAGTGATTAACAACCATTGTTCAAATTATTTCAGATCAAGATATGTAAAACTCAATGGGTTCATTTTAAAAAGCTAGCATAACTCCAACATGGCCAAAATAACTAGAAACCAACTCTATCTATGATATAGATGCAAAGATTCTAAGAAAATTTTTATCAAATTGAATCCCACAGGCATCAAAAAAAAAAATGTCACAGCAGGAGAGCACATCACTAAAATCAGGAGAAGGCAGGACTTTGCTCTTGTCATTCTTATTTAAGATTGTGACATTCTGGGGCACTTGGGTGGCTCAGTCCGTTAGGCATCTGCCTTCAGCTCAGGTCACGATCCCAGGGTCCTGGGATCAAGCCCGGCGTCGGGCTCCCTGCACAGCGGGGAGTCTGCTTCTCCCTCTCCCTCTGCCTGCCACTTTGCCTACTTGTGCTCTTTTTCTATCTCTCTGTCAAATAAATAAATAAAACCTTAAAAACAAAAACAAAGTTCTCTACAATCTGCCTCATTATCTCTTGTCATTAAAAAAAAAAAAAGATTGTGACCTTCTAATGCAACAAAGAGCAAAGTAATTTCTAGAAATGTTAAAAATAGAGACAAAGTTATCTTTATTTGCAGAGAATATTAGTTAACTAAAAAACCCATTAGTTAAAAAAATGAAACTAATCAAAGAATTTGGTAAATTGGCTAGATACAATTTAATATATAATAAGGAGTGGCTTTCCTGTCAGCAACATCTAGTTAGAAATGAGGGGGAAAATCTCATACATATTAGCTACAAAATTTTAAAATATTTGAGAATACATTTAACGAGAAGGGTGTCACATCAATAATGGAAGCATAACTATAACATTTTATTGAAGGGCATAAAAACATTTTATTGAAGTTCTGAATAGATAGAAAGATATACCATGTTTCTGGAAAGGAATAATTAAAATAATAAAAATGTAATGTTTCCAAATTAATACATAAATTTAATGCCGCTCCACTCTGCATCACAGTGGCTTTTCTTTTTAATTAGACACAATGATTTTAATATTCTCATGGAAAAATAAATGTGCAAGAATTACCAAGATATTTTTGAGGAAAGAATAAGGAAGGAAAACTTATTCTACCAGATGCTGCAACTGATTCTAAAGCTACTGTATCAAAATAGCAAGATATGGCATAGGAATCAACACAGACAATGGCTCAATGACGTACAGGGTTCTTGATTAATGACTTTTTTTTTTGCTAATTGTTTCTGCCCTTTCTTTTTATTTACATGAAAACATTTTAACTCTTATGTTTCCTATGTGCTGCCAGATGTTGAGCTCAAATTCTTTTAGAGATATGTAAAGTAACTAACACGTAGGTAACTCTTCCATCTGACGCGAGCAGACCATGGGAGTATTCAAGACACTCACCTCCCTGTGCTTTCAGAGAATGCATCCATGTAAGGAATGTCCCAGCAATGTACATACCCGGAAACGGAAGATCCCTGCATACTGGTGTGAAAAGCTTTGGTCCATCAGGATCTTCTGTAGATGCTGTGGGTTCTGTGTCAAGGAGCCCAGCGTTGCCAGGAACCAGCAATCTCCTGTGAGGGGACGTAAGCCATGAAAGGTCTACTGAACACATCTGGAAGCTCCACCCCACACATTTCACAGGTCTCCATATGCCTTCTTCTGAATAATGCCATTTTTTTGTTGTTGTTGTTCTGAGAGGTGAGAACTGGGGAAGGTTTCACTAGGGCCAGTTCCAAGCAAGATAGAGAAGGAGCTGGTGTGGTGGTAGGGGTTAGTGGTGTGGGGCTGATGGGGGTAGTAGTGATAGGGGTGGTGGTGATGGGGCGATGGGGTTGGGGTGGCTGGGATGAAGGTGAAGGGGTTTCGAGGAATGGCAATGGCGGTGGTGAGGGAAGTCAAGAGAGCCCCAGCCAGGCTTCAGCAGGGCTGGTGGGCCAACCTGCCTCTGATTCTCATTTTGCCAGAGGTGCCCAGAGCTGAAGTTACAGGAAATTTTGTTGCAGTCCATCCACAGCAGCACCAAGGATGCTGACCTTGCCTCCTCAGAACCTGGGGTAGAACTCTGGGGTCTGGGTGGGCACCACCCTCTGTCCCTCCCTACCTGGAGGCTGACTTCAGGCAGCCTGCTTATTCCAGGGCCAGGAGGAAAGATGTTGAGTCCTTACCGGCCTTTCCTTGTTGGATGTCAAATCTGCTTGCACCTTCCAGGATGAAGTGAGGCTCTGATATACCCTTTAATATATCCTTAGGCAAGAGGGAGAAAAGCCATAAGCATCCTTCATTCCTCTACGTCCCTATGTGGTACCCAAGATATCACTTACTTTTTCTTTGAGGGGTAGGGGTTAATTCTTAAATAGGTACTTAAAATCTGAGTCAGGAAAGTTCCTCTCATTCTTCAGGTTTGATTGCTATCAGGAAGGCAGGTGTCAAAGGGGTGTGTATGTAACTGACAAAACAGGCAAGACATGCATAAGCAAAATGCATGAGGAGATAAGTATAAATAAGGACTCGGGATCTTTAGATCAAATAGTCAGCCATCCCAGTCTCAATAAGCAGTGTTTCAGTAACAGGTTATAAATGACAAAAAAAAAAAAAGAGATACATTTATTAGAGGACACTTTTATAAGCATAATAAAGCTTTCCTTGGGGAATGCCCTCTCTCAGAAGTCAGTAGAGGCATTCTGGGCTCCAGGTTCGAGTCTAGCCACGTGCTGTACGGGATGCAAGATGTGTTACTCAGACCTTCGCCCACTCCCTGGCTAACTCACAGACTGATTCTGGAAGACCCTGGGCCCCTTGTCTTGGGTACTGTTACACAGCGCCCAGTGCTGCCCCGAACTCCAACACACAGAGCCCTTGGCAGCCCCAGGAGGGTTCACTAGAGGATTCTGCAGGGCTACCATGTCTGGGGAGAATTTGGGGGAACTCTTAGCAGACACAAGGATTGTGAGAGCTCCTGAAGGGGCTTCCCTGGGGCCAGGGTCCCCAGGGACTCCCCAGCTTTCCCCGACTGGAAGTCTGCAGGATTACCCTCAGCACCCACTCTGCTCAGTGGCTCCTCCTGCATTTCCACTGCATAAATTTGCATTTGCATACTTTGGTAATTGTTCCTGTATCATTTCTTTTCACATTGACAAATAAATCCCCAGAGAACAGGGCCACAAAGTGGAAATGGATTTATTTGCTCAACAGCCATGAATGTAGAGTCCTGTGCCTTGAAAGACCTACCAGCCCTTCATAAACTGCCAGTTTCTTGGTGGAGACACCAAGAGGCAAACAAAGGTGTGCATGTCTGCAAACAGCTCAGCCCAGCTTGCTCGGGAGGTGTAATCACCTCTCTAAGCCTGCTCCCACTGCCTTCTCTACAAATAGCTGGACTCTCGGGTGAGCCAGGAGAGGCACACTCAGGCCCTCCCCGGGTGGAGGTGCCACGCCGCGTGCCACGTACCCACATCTGGGCTCCAAGCTGGGCCCCTGGCGTACCCATGTCTGGGCAGATGTGCGGACCTCCCCCAGCACAAGTGAGCAGGGCAAACCTCTACAGGGCCATAAAAGGAGCAACTCGCCCAGTTCCAAACAATTTGGGGCACTTCCACTAGCTGTGCCCACCCTTTCTACTACAAAAAGGAAGTGGGGTTTGCTGTCAGAAAGCAGATGCTTAAGATCCTCCACTCGTGGGAATTAGAGTAGAGGCCAGTAGGCTTGGGACTGGGAACAAAGACCGTGTTGCTCAGCTTCCCTGACCTTGCCCGCAGCACCATCTCTCCTCGGCTATTCGCTCCTGGTTTCCCTGCAGTGCCTGCAGAGGGGGAGTGGGTGTGCTGAGAGGCATTCACACAGACCTGGAGTGGCATCCTGCTGTGCGTTCTCCCGGAGTAACCTTGAACAACTCCCTTGACTTTGCTGAGACTCAATTTCCTCGTGTGCAAAATGGAGATGCCAGTGGTAAAGCGATCGAGGCACTGGTTGCCTTGGTCCAGGGGCTTTATTCACCCACTGTCACCCACTAGCCTTGCAAAGCAGGAGTCTTTCCATTTCACAAACAAGGAAGGATGTGAATACTTAGCAGAGCATCAGACAAGGTACATGGTCAATAAATATTGATTCCCTTTTTCTATAATATTTGCAAAATTAAAAAGGCCATACTCACAAACCCAGAGCCTCAAATGCATTCATTATTAAACATGCAATGGATGATGGAATGAAAACATGATGGAATAAAATCACGATGGAATAAAAACATGAATTAAACAGTCAACCCATAGATGCTAGAAAGATGAAAAGAGCCTCAAATATAGGCAGAAAAAAATGATAAAAGAGGACAATTAGCAAATTCTAATATAGAAAAATAGCAAGATCAATAAAGCAAATAACTCATTCCATTTGGGGAAAAAGGTTTACATAGACCCCACCTTTGGCAAATATGGTAAAGAAACCCAACTAAAATTAGAAATACAAATGAGGTTTTAGCAGTATAAAAACATGACATAAAATTCTATACTAATCAATTTAAAAATAGTGATGATTTTCTGACTAAAGTTAACATGACCAAAAATGAATCAAGTTAGTAAATAAAGTGAAAAAAAAATCAATAACCTTGGAATGGTATTTTCAAATGATCAAAGAATATATCCCTAACATATGATTTCCTGTGGAATTCTTTCAAACTTTCAGGGAATAGACAATTCCTGTGTCACTTAGAGTTTCAGTATAAGAAAGGAAGGAGGAAAGAAAGACCCTGCCACCATTTATTTTAAGAAGCCCAGCATAGCCTGGGACAGCAAAAGCATGACACACATACATACACACGCACGACTGATTTAGACTGATTTCCCTTATGGAAATATACCAAAATAAAATACCCAGCAAATGAACTAACAAGAAATTGTTAAGACCAACCCTCTATAATCAAGCAGGGTTTTCCCTAGAAATGAAAAATACCAGCTGGTTTCATATCAGGATATATAATAATATAAAGTAGCATTTACATGGGCCAAAGGAGAAACAATTTATATCCTTCTAACAAATGCACAACTTTCTCTGATTTACCAAAATGATAAAAATTAAAATTTAAAAAAATGTAGCTAATTAGGAGCCGAAAGACATTTTAATGCTGTGAAAATTAAATGGCAATTATTGTATATCAATATTCAATACCAACTTTATGGGCAAACACTGGAATCATCTGCATCTGTGTCTCTTGTCCTCTGAGCTACCTGTTTCTTCCCTAGCCTGGGCTTTAGAGGGATGCTAGATGATCTAACAAGAGCAGAGGTAGGGGTGCCTAGGTGGCTCAGTGGGTTGAACGTCTGACTTTGGCTCAGGTCGTGATCCCAGGATCCTGGCATAGAGCCCCTCGTCAGGCTCCCTGCTCAGCAAGGAATCTGTTTGTCCCTCTCCCTCTGCCCCAGCCCCTGCTCATGCTCTCACTTTCTCTCTCAAATGAATAAATGAAATCTTTTTTTTTTTTTTTTTAAAGAGAGAAGTAGGGAGAAATGGAAATTATACCCAGAAACATTTTAATCTGCTGGGCTGACTTGCTGAGAGAATAGGTAAAGATGAATGGATAAAGAAGATGTGATACATATTTATGATGGAATATTACTCAGCCATCAAAAAGAATGAAATCTTGCCATCTGCAACAATATGCATGGAGCTAGAGAGTATTATGCTAAGCAAAATAAGTCAGAGAAAAAAAAAGGGGAGGAAAAAAAGAAAGAGAGAAGCAAACCAAGAGACAGACTCTTAACTATAGAGAACAAACTGATGGTCACCAGAGGGTAGGTTGGGGGGGGGCTGGGTGACACAGGTGATGGGGATGAAAAAGGGCACGTGCTCTGATGAGCACCACAGGGTGTTGTCTGGAAGTGTTGAGTAATTAAATTGTACACCTGAAGTTAATATTACCCTGTGTTAACTAGCTGGAATTTAAATGCAAACCTAAAAAAAAAAAAAGAGAGCTGGCCATGCTCTGCAGGTGTCACCAGGTGGGATGAGCACACCAGGGCAGTGAAGTGTGACAAGCCTGGCAAAGAGCAGTCTCCACCCTGAGTGTGACTCAGAATCACCCGGGACCTTCGCAGACAGGCAGACTGCCGGGTGCCTCCTCCCACAACCTGGATTTAGTGGATTAGCCAGAGGTGGCATTCAGGATTTACGCGGCAACACCAAGAATTCTGAGGCCCCGCCAGGGTAAGGGGGCAGGTTCAGGAAAGCTGAGCAATTTGTTCCAGCTCCACAGGAATGGGCTGTGAAGCGGCAATGTGGCTCCATAGTGCCTAGCTCTTCCCTGCTGACCACACCAGCAGTGTGGGCCTCTCTGGATCAGTGTTTTCTGATTCTGTGAGGTGGGCTCTTCAGGGGCTCTGAAACATCATTCGTACAGAAAGCAGTTGTAATGGTTAATTTTATGACTTGACTGGATCATGGGGTCCCCAGATATGCAGCTAAACATTATTTCTAAGTGTGTCTGTGTTTCTAGATGAGATTAGCATTTATTTGAATTGGAATTTAGTAAAGCAGATTACGATCCCCAGCGCGTGAGGACCACCCAATCCGCTGGGGACCTGAACAAAACAAAAGGTAGAGGAAGGGAGAATTTGCCCTTTCTCTGCTGACTGCAAGCTGGGACTTTAGTCTTCTCCTGCCCTTGGACTGGTAATGACACCATCAGCCCCCAGTCAGACTAAACTACACCACAGGCTTGACTGGTTCTCAAGCTTGCAGATGGCAGATGTGTGGGACTTCTCAGCCCTCATCACGTGAGTCGTAGCCTCACAGTAAAAACATCAACAGGCTAAATCTATGTATTTGTTATTGGTTATATCCTATCAGATACATAGATATATAAGAGATGCATATACACACACACATACATATATATCCTATTATTTCTGTTTCTTTGGAGAACCCTGACTAATACAGAAGGCATCAGCAATAGTCCCACTAAGTAATCTTAGCAACTTCTGCATTGAGAAGCCGTTTCTCAAGGCAAACATTTGGGGCAATCTGTGTTATACTAGGCATGTCAGAAGCACATGTAAGGCAAGAACCCCTGGAATTTTAGAAAATACTCACTTAATTGGTACCAAACCAGACACTCTCCTGCAATCATCCCTGGAGATGTCTCTTCCAATGCAACATCACTTTGTATATTTTGGAATGATTATTGCATTCATCAAAGGCTGCTAATGCACTGTTCCAGATGGTATGCTGCCTCTCAGATGAGGGAACACCAGGTTTAGCATCTTGGCATTCAGACACAGGCTGAATATATCTTTCAGAGGGTGGCCAGAGTTCAGGCTGGGCCAGGTGGCAGTGTCACTCCCTTTCTATTTTTGCTAGAGAGCTTTGTTTTATTGGCATCAAGGTTCTTTGGCTCAATGGCATTTGGCCTGGCATGATCACCTTGTCACCTTCTGCTACCTGTTGCCTTCGTAACCTACACTCATATGTCCATTTTGTTAACCCCTTCCTTTTCTGAAGAACCCATTTTCGTCCCAAGGTGAATCATTTCTAGTGAATGATCCTTTTAGAAGCTCCACTCTGGCTACTTAAAAGATGAAAAGTTGTTACATGGGGAGGCAATACTTCATTCTGGGATGGCCACAGGCCAGAATCCACAATGGGGTCGGGTTTGGAGCTCTAAGCACCCATCAGAGAACATGTTTTGGGCCCGCAGCTCATTCTTCAGTTGAGAAGTGAAATGTTTTTCACGAGAGAATGGGGGCAAAAATGAAACTGCAACCTCTCAATCTGATACATATTGGTGACTCTGCTATGAAGATCTGTACCTATAATTCTGTGATGTCAGCCACAAGTCATATGTGACTACTTTAAATTAGATTAAAACTTCAATCCCTCAGTTGCACTAGCCACATTCTAAGTACCCAATAGCCACATATAACTAGTGGCTACTGTACTGAATGATACCAAAAGACTCTGCCATCATGGAAATTCTATTGGACAGGGCCCATCTATTGAATAAGGATAATAATATTATCTACCTCACAGAACTGTTATGGGAATTAAATGAAATGTGATATGTAAAGTGCTTAGATTAATACTTAATGCATGCACATACTTGATAAATGGATTTTATTATTATTTATGAAATTAAAAATCTAAAAGGAAGTCACTCTAACATCAACTTTCATTCAGGGAAATAAACAGATACTCCATGTACAAGTCTAATTCTCAGCATTGTCTCTTGCTGACATGGGGGGTTGCAGGCAGTGCTGAGGCTGATGAGGAGTTGGGTCCCATCAGTGCCATTTGCTCAGTGCAAATGGGGAAAGTGTGAGGGGGTGGGTTGGAAATTTATTAAACAAAGAGAAGCCGAATGAAGCAGGATATGAAGGAGCTTCTATTTCAAATTCCAGCAACAAAATGGATTATGTTGACTGTTGGAGGGAAGGAGGGACGGAAGAAGAGAGTCCGAGAGACAGAGAAAGAGAGGGAGAGGACATTATGGGACATTAAACAACTTTTCTGCACCAGGCATAGAAAACTGAGTCTAGTTTTATGCTCCTGACTCTTGGGCTATTAGTGAATCTACCAAGCCCAAGTGAGTACTCAAGGTAGAATCATATCCGGGCGCCTGGGTGGCTCAGTTGGTTGGGCAACTGCCTTCGGCTCAGGTCATGATCCTGGAGTCCCGGGATCGAGTCCCGCATCGGGCTCCCTGCTCAGCAGAGTCTGCTTCTCCCTCTGACCCTCCCCCCTCTCATGCTCTCTGTCTCATTCTTTCTCTCTCAAATAAATAAATAAATACATCTTTAAAAAAAAAAGAAAAAAGGTAGAATCATATCCATGATGGTTTAGCAATTGCCTAGAGGATGGAGGGTCCCCATTGTCTGGAAAAGCCTAGGATGTGAAGATGGCCTCAGAAACCTTGGTGCCACCTCAGCCATTGTACAGTTGACCTTTAAGGAGTGCCAGCTGGACCTCTAGACAGTGACTGGGCAAACTCTAGATTGGGAGGCAAGTAGTGACAGGCAGCAGAATGTAAGAAGAAAGTCACTCTCCACACTCCCTGCCAGGCTCCCCTAGACCTGGATGAAATAGTTTCATCTGACCTACATTTCTCCCCTAAAAGTGTTTGTTGAAATTCATTGAGGGCTGAAGCTGACTTGACTGTGAAAGCCTAAGGGATCCAAAAGGACAGCCCCTGAGGGTGCTACCCTATGCCATCCCTCCCAAATTAAATGTAGTAACAATAGCTAGTGTTTAGTAAGTGTTTACAATGTGCTAGACACTCTTCTGAGTATTGTCTTTATTTAGTCCTTAAAATAATCATGTGAGGTATACATACAATATTTCATTTTTACCCTCATTCTTTTTCACCTAAAAAATGGAAAGAAGGACACAACATAGACATTGATTCCTGGTTACCCAGAAAAGCTAGGAGTCTATTGGCGCACAAAACATTTGTGGCAAACAGGAGGCCAGAACACAACATGAGCTTATGATGAGGCCCAACAGAAGACAGGGTAGTATGGTGATAGGAGGACAGGTCTTGGAGACAGAGTCCAGGGCTTAAATCTCAGCTGTACCACTTTGGGCCTGTTACTTAAGTCTGTTTCTATTTCACATCTGTACAATGGGGTTAATAACAGTACCTCCTTATAGCATTACTATGAGGATTCAGTGAGTCAAAGCCCCTAAAGCCAGGCCTGCCATATAGTCAGCAGTATGTAAGTATTGGCTTTTACAACTAGGATTGAGCCACACTGGCCGTGGCTCTTCCTCCAAGGCTCTTTTCAGGAACTATAAGCTTTGGCAGTTGAGGATGTCACCATGTTGAAAGGGTGAATTCACTGGCCTTCTCATCTACCATCCTACTTGTTAAACAAGTCGACCTACAGATTCTCAATTGCACATATGGAGCTTGAAATCCACGTCAAGGACCTGTAGATAGAGTCATTCCTTCATCCATTCACACACTTATTCATTCATTCAAATCCTGACAGAGTCCTATTGGGTACACAATCCCATGTGAAGAAAAGTGCTGCATGTGGAGTCAGGAATCTTAGTTTAAATCCCAGGTCCTTCCCTCACTAACTGCCACCTTATGCAAGTTGCATCACCTGTCTGAATCTGTGTTCTTCTTAATATAACTGGGAAAGAACAAAAGAGACAAAGTAAGAGAAGACACATGGAAAACCCAGGAAAATACGAATGTAAATGTTGTAAGGGACATGAAGACATTTGTCTCAGCTTTTGGCTGAGAAGAAGAATGGGAATAAGACATATCTGCCTCTGGCCACCCCTGTTTCAGGTTCCCGGCAGGATTCTGTGGAAGTCATCTCATAGCTGTTTGCCTCAGTTTCTCCTTGCCCCCGAAATACAAAATTTGAGATGCTGCTAGAATCAGATAATAAGAAACTCTCAACCCTTCCTCTGAAACCCTTCCATTTCAGCATAGAAATGTTATAAATTCTTTAACACTATAAATATGGTCTCACATCTATTACTCAGCACCTTGAAAAAAAAAAAAAACCACTTTCTAAAAGAATCTCAGCTCCTAAAAATAACAAAGGGAAAAAATATAACCCTTCTAAACTTTAAATAGAGTTCTCTGTTCAGCTCTCTGTAGGAGAAGAAAGCCAGAAGAGAATTGTTGCTGGGGACTTAATACCTCTGGCTGGTGAGATGGACCCTAGAAGCCTGGTGTACCACCATCTGATCGTGAGCTCTAGCTGCTCCCCACTTAGCCCCCCTACAAATCTGTCCCAGGGTAGGGCAAGACTTGGCACCTCTAGAGTTCAATGTCTTGTATACATCATCAGAAAATGCCCTTTCTGTATAACCTATCCTGGGTTTATTGAAAGTAGAGTGCTTGGCATTTAATCAGTGCTTGGTAACACCTGCTGATATTGTAATTATTAGCTTATTAGACATTATATTATTTTCTCTTGTTCTAGGTTCTGCTGGCTGCTTTTGGAAGTAAGAACAGGAGAGTTGGGCATTAGGGCCCCCGGAGTGGTCCCCACCTGGGTTCTTTGCATCAGTAGTAGCCCTGATGAGATTATAAGAATGTTAAGTGGGCTGAGAAATTTTTCTTGGGGATTCATGCCCTGGAATGACTATAGTTTAGAAAAATCAACAGGGCTTATCTCACCACAAGGCTGAGTTAGTGGCCATCTGCTGTAGTAGTGGAGGAGGGGGTTTTGAATGTTGCCCTGAAATATCTCCCTAATTTTGCAGCTAATGTCTGAAATTCTTTTATAAATGATCAAGCCTTTGCAAGACTGAAAATGCAAGTATAAATGAGAGAGGTGAGGCAATTATTTAAATTTATCCTATTGTATAAGTGACTGATGTGATATCTTCCCTTTGAATAAATTCCAACAGGGAAAAAGAAAAAATAAGGACAGTGATAAGGAAGAGAATAAGGAGTGATGGAGACAGATGGGCTCAACTATGGAGATAAGACCAACTACTGCAATCTTCAAACCCATGGTTTCCCATTTTTCAGATGAGAACATGAGGCATGCAATCTAGTGATGTGCTCAGTGATAGAAATGGGTTAGAACACAGGGGTCCTGGTTCCTGGTACAGGGTCCTTCTGTCCCACTAAAGGTACAACACTGTAGCTGAGGGACCAGATAAATCTCGTTCTCCTTCCCACTTGGTTTGGGCCATCCTTGAAAGGCAGGGCACAGACCCTTTTTTTTTTTTTTTTTTTTTTTTTACAGACCCATTCTTGTTTCAGTTGAGGCACCATGGCCGGCAGCTAGGAGGGCCCTAGAGCTGGGCGTGTTCCTGAGGGGCTCACTCACCTTTGGCCGCATCCACCTCAGGCTGGAGAGGTTTTTTCCCTGGAGCAGCTTCAGACCTATGGAAGAAGTCTCTGCAGGGAATGTCTCATCCTCAAATGGTAGGCCTCTGCTTAGGCAACGATCCCACAAGGAGTTAAAGTCCTGGCCATTGAATTTGATGACAGGGGTCTTGTCTAGAGGCTCCTGGTTGTGTGCCATGATTCTCCTTAGAAGATGTCTAAGGCCTTTTCTTTCTGGTAAGAAAGGGAGGTATTTTTAGGGATAAAATGTCAAGTCCTTTGCATCATTAGATGTGAGCCTTAGAAGGGCACTCAGATGTTCCCCACCCCCTTTTACAAGTGATGGTACTGAGACCCAAAACACTCTGTCCTCAGTGACACAGCCAGTTGGTGGGTGAGCTCAGACTAGAATTCAAGCATTTTTTCTCCCAGTTCAATTTTCAATCTGCTGTACCAAAGAGCTACTCAGTATGCTATTATGTGCATGAGAGACTACGGGGGGTATTTGTATATTAATGAACATTTATTGAGTGCTGACCTTGTGCCAGGCACTTTTCTGAATGCTGGCAATTCAAAGATAAATGCGACATGATCTTTATCCCTTAGGGGCTCATTATCAAGTAGAAAGATAGATGAGACATTTCAACAACTTGCTATCATTCAACAGAAATTGTCTGATTAAAAATGTGTACAAAACCCTGTGAATATAAAGAGGAGGAGCTATGAACTGCCAGGGAAAGTCTGGGATGACTCTCCCACAGACAGTGACATTTGAATGGGGCCTTAAAGGAAGAAGACTATGCCAGGTGGAGAACTGGTGGGTGTATATGTATAAATTATTCTCTCTCTATATAAATCAGTCCAGGTTCCCTGAGTAGCAAGTGTGTGGAGGCCCAGGAGTTGGATTGGAAAGGTCTTGGGTGTTAGAATTGGGGGGCAGTCTGGCGGGGTCAGTGGGGTAGGGGTTGGGGATAGGCAATGTTGACAGAGATGGCCAGCAAGGTAGATTGGAAAGTTGGACTGTGACATGCTTTATGCACCGCAGGGCCATTGAAGAGGTAGGTCATGATCAGATCTGTGTAAAGGATTGTGGAGTGAGTTGGAGGCCACATGGAGGGAATGGGTAGGGACTGAGACAGGAAGGAGGTTAGGATGCTGCTACACGTGTTCATGGTAGAGATAGTGTTAGACAATTAGTAGTGAAAATGATGGAAAACAGATCCTAGTGTCATTTTATAGGTAGAACCAATAGGATTCCATGATGAATCAAATATGGGGGCAGGGAAAGGAGATGTGGGGCAGGAAAAAGAAAAGGTAGTATAGTGAACAAAAAGTTTTTTTGCCACCACCTTCATACTGGTTCCACAATATGGAGTAGTATTCAAGCCTATGAACCCACTTCTCCATCTGTACAGATTAATGATACCAACCTCATAGAGTTTGTTGTGGTATTAAATGAGAACAATGGCTGGCATACAGTGGGCACTCAGTAAAAGTTGGCATCCTAATTTCCCTAAAGAGAGGTCAAGGGAGTCTGGGATTTCTTGTTCAGGAAGCCATAAGGATATAACTGATGCCATTACCAAAGTGTGTATCACATCCTCCATCCCTCCATCTGTGAGGGAAGCTGACTTGCATCTGAATCATGAATCCACACTTACTGACTCTGGGACTTGAAAAGCTTCCTTAGACCTTAAAGTAGTACATTTCAAGCTTCTTTGACTAGGGCACGGAAGACCCCAAGGTCCATAGGTCCTATCCATTCCCACTTTACAGTGAAAAAGGAATCAGCTGACGATAAAGAACTAAAGAGGGACATAAATGAACAACTCATGAAGAAAGAATATGAGCTTACAATCAAGATCTTGGATCATACAAAAAAACATGCAAACTTAAAATAACTTAGCAATGTTCTTACAGTTAACATATAATAATAGTATGTTTTGAATTAGTTAGATAACACCAATTCATAGGCAGAATATCATCTATAAAGTGTTACTGTACACACATATTTGGAGGGAATTACACACACAAATGTCTAGCAAATGAGGTAAAAATAATTTATATTTGAACTATTAGGTTGGACCATATGAGACTGTCATTTTTTAGGTAAAAAATTATTGAATATAGTCCATTTCATATGGCTTCACCTAAGGTAAAAATGTTTGAATGTAGGCCATTTGGTTTAACCCAATATGTTATATGCATTTCTTCAATCTAGTTCTTAGAAAATAACAGTGAAAATATGTCAATATACCTCATCACTCACTATAGGGTTAAGAGGAGAGCCCACAACAAATTATATAGAAAGCTGAAATAACAGTAAGGTATCATTCAAGAGCAAGAAAACAGTAATAGAAATTGCCAACTCAGGACCAAGGCAACGACACCTGATAACGGAGAGTTGTGAAAATTATGGGTCTCCCAACTCTGCACATGCTCGTCGACAGTGGAACCAGTACAGCATTGCCATACCATCCACCTTTCAGTAAAATATTGAATTAGAGTGTGTGATAAACTCCAGCAATGAGCTAATTTTAGTTTAGGAAAACCCAATAGTAGTTACTCTTAATAACACAATTATAGGATGTAAGAGGGAGTCTCTATGTAGAAGTGAGTCTGAAGAATTTGGCTTGACTTTTCCATCAGACTCTTGCAAAGGCCTCACTTACCTTTGGGAGTCAGTTCCCAGGCCATCTGTAGGGCCCTCACTGCTCACCAGTGGGTAGTGGACAGTTAGGAATCGCCATGTAAGACTCGCTTTCCTCATTTGTGAAATGATGACAATAATGTGCGTGTTGTAGAACTCTTTTAAGACTCAAATGAATCCATGCTTGTCAAGTATTTAGCACTGTGACTGGTACATAGAAAGTGGTCAATAAATAATGGTTATTAGCAGTATTATCATTTTGATTATGAAAGGACTGTGCAGAAAGCCCTACACCTTCTGAGATGATGACTTGTTCTTATGAATGACAGCTAGTCTCAGAAGGGCCTGCAGTGGTGAGGGCTAGGTGTGAGACATCACGTCCATGTCCTCAGTTCTGCTACTGCTCTGCACTCGCTAATTGAGAGCCCAGGAAGGAAAGACTGGGGGACAGGTGGGTGTCTGCTGGTGGAGGAGGTGGTCTGCTGTTCTGGGAGAGAAGAGAATCTTGATGGGAGGAAAAGAAGGCAGGCAGGAAGTGGAGGGAGCCTCCCCACTCTTTGCACGGACCTCACACCTACCAGGTTCACCCTTTTGCCCCCTGGATTGCTTATAGGTTTGCCAGGAAACAGCTTGCAGACTCACTTTCTCAAGCAGGAAGTGTCTACAGAACTTGACATTTCACTTTTGTGTGCAGCAGAAAAGGCCAACCAACTCTCATATCTGTCCTTTTAGGGAGGGCTTTTTGGCTTATTTATTTTTCTGTCTTGCTTCACTGTGAAAGGTAAACAAAGGCAAGACTCAACTGCCTAGGTCAAAAAAGAGAGAGCGAGATGGAAGATCTTCCTGATATTCAGGATAAAAAGCTGTCTTACTACTGGGGTTTCTCTTGAGTCTAGCAAGAAAAATGGCACAAGAGGAGCTAGAAAAATGGCAAAAAGAGTTTATGTGAAGTTTCTAATGTGAGAGACTGCGTGAGCTAATGCATCAAGCCTCAGAACTAGAATGAGAAGTAGGCAAGAGATGCAGTTGGTGGTTGTAAAATCTGTTCTGCTCCCCGCAATGTGTATAAAGTGAGCTTGATTCAGTCCTTCCTTCTGTCCTCTGCTGAGTTGGGTGACTGTCTTAGTCTGTTCAGCCCACAACAAAATACCATAGAGTGGGGGCTTATGCAACAGACATGTATCTCCTAACTGTTTTGGAGGTTGCCAAATCCAAGATCAGGATGACAGTATGGTCAGGTTCTGGTGAGGACTCTCTTTCTGCCTTATAGACAACTACTGTTTTGATGTGTCCTCCCATGGTAGGGAGAGAGGGAGGGAAGGAGAGAAAGAGAGAAAGAGAGAAAGAGAGAGAGAGAGCTCTTTCTCTTCTTATAAGGCCACAGTCCTATTGGGTTAGGGCTTTAGGGCTTTACTCTTATGACCTTATTTAACCTTAGTCACCTCCTTTCTGGGCCTTATCTCCTGAAACAGTCACAGTGGGGGTTAGGGCTTCAAAATATGAATTTGGGGGGAACACAATTCAGTCCATAGCAGTGACTAACCCCATACTGTCCCAACAACTTGTCTAGCCCTGGATGCATATTTTAGGCAGTGTGCAATCAAAAAGGAATGGGCAACTAATGAATCATTGAACACGACCACAAAAACTTATGATATGCTATGTGCTGGCCAACTGAACATAATAAAAAAATAAAAATTAAAAAAAATGGATGAAACCCCCCCAAAAAAAAGGAATGGGGGCATATCAATTAGGACCTCAGAGATTAGATGAAGGAGGTCAGTAAACACAAGTGAAAATGACCCAACAGTGCTGAGTATGTAAACATTACTGAAATTTATGGAAAGATGATGAGGGCTCCTGAACGGCAGAAAAGTCTTAGATACTTAAATGCTAGTAACTTTGGTTTGTCAGCACCTACTGCCAGACCACATAGTAGATATTCTATAAAATTCTTACAAGTGTTGGTAGGATGAATGCCTCAAATCAGCTCTTTTCAAGTATGTTCTATGGAGCAGAAGCCTCCATAAATAACAGATTACGAGGTCAAATGGCTTGGAAAATATTTTATATCAAATAGTCCCTATGGAGATTCACAAGAGCTTCCAAGAAGTCCTCAATAAAAAAAAAAAAAAAACTTAAATAAGTTTGCTTTCAGGGTTTCACACTTATATAACCAGCAAGTCTTTTTATTGAAAAATTCTTATTAACATATGGGAAAGATGCACAGAAGTTAAATGACTCTAGGAAAAAAAGAAAGAAAAGCCCCAAAGTTAAATGGCTTTCAAAGATCACAACTCAAGTCCTCATTCTGCCCCTTATTAGCCACATGATCCTGGGAAAGTTTTCTAAGCACTTAGCCCCTCACAGAAAGTGCACTTGAATGCATAGTCTGAACTTAATCAGATTGAGTCCTGCTTTTTTTTTTTTAAAATCAACATTCTCCAGAGGATTATAATAGAACACAGATTCTACATAACATAACACTCACTTTGCCCAGGATATAATCACAAACTACTCAAAATTAAAGAACGATGACACTATGATCT